AGCGATTATGTAGAAAATAAAGTAATATAAAATAGTAATTTTAATGTGGCTGAATAATGGCAACAGTTGCCATATTGAAAAAAGTCGGCCAAAAAAAGTACTAATTTTTTTCATCGTTTACATTCCCGCCTTTTTCATTAACTTTTTTACGATTTGATTTTTTAAATACTGTTTTATTTTACTTTCAATGTAGGTTTTTCGCAAATGTATTAAAAAACGTCGTTTGATACACGTGCGGATTTGTCATTTTCACTTGTCTCGCGTCTTGACCCTCGCCTCTGGCTCGGGCCAAGAAGCCTCGAGACTCGTGGATAATGACTAACTTTCCGCACTTATATCAAAAATAACTATTTTCTAGGATTTTAGAGAATTAGAGCGAAATAATGAAACAACCATACCATACAAGCTAAAATGGCAGACTGAGCTGAAATAGGTCTGTCGAGACCTATAGTAGTCACGCATAGGACGGTAACTAACCATTTCTACTGTATTTATTGTTCCGTGTTGATGAATATACAATATATGAATATGCATATCAATAAGCTGTCACGCAAACGTTAGAAACTCAGAACAGGTTAAAGTTTATCTACCTCTTTTGATGATTACGCTACTTTATTCGAAATACACTAGATACATCCCTACATAAAACTAAAAAGACTGAGTATGTCATTATTACTTGAGCATAAAAAATATCCAGGAATTTGAAGTACAGGACAAAATATTTTTTCGTAACGAAATACAGTTCACCGTGCGCTACGTAGGTAGCCAGAACTCCGACAGAACCCCAGAACATACATAGGTATGAAAACAAACGCACAATTTTCTGAAAAAGAAAAAACATAATTATCTTGAATTGTATTATATATACTTAAGGATATTGTACAGTGAGATTAACGGTCTCTACCGGGTGGTAAAGCCAAACTGGGAACCCATGAACATACAAGCCATCTTTATTATCATATTGCCAGAAATATTGATAAACAAAACGTAGAGTAATGGCAAAAGCCTCAATAGTGCCAAACAATTATTATCTACCTCACTGAAGACAGAGGATGGAGACAGTCCTTCTTCATTTTGTAAACGCGGGAATGATCGGATGTTTAACTTTCTTTACAAAGTCATATTCAGTCGTCGTTAGTATCTTTGCGTCATATTAATATTATCTTATGCCCTGTCTTTTTTGAAGACTGAGTAAAATGACACTTGTAGGATAGCCAGTTTCCATAAAATATAAAATAGTCATGTAGTTACTATCGACACTTTTGTCGGTAAATTGTGAAAGAATGCCAAAAATGTCAGAATTATGAAATTTACGATTACTAACTGCGTTATTGCTTTCTTCATTCTTGTTTTGACAGCTGGCCCACTAGTATCAAAATATATTTTTATTCATAAACATTTTAAGAATAACACGCGGATTATCTATATTGGTCTATAACGATGAGGATCTATATTGAATTAAAATTAAAAACTGCAAAATGTCTCCTCTTTTGTTACACTTACAAAAGTTGACAATTCCAATGAATCTATGACGAAGAATGTTGCATGCATAATCGTATTTAGTCGATAGTCGAAATAATATTTATCGACATGTGCAATTAACTGTCATGTTAATCATCTTCTTTGTGGTTGTATATGTGTGTCCATGGCACCCGCGACACAGGGTTTCCCTAGTGCGGGGCTATGTCGAGTGTGTGCGTTATTATTATTATCTTCAAAAAGACTGACTCTACTTGCGACAATAGACCATATAAATAAATCAAAACATTACCCTGTAATGTTTCACTTTCCACATCTCACAACGCTTATATTTTCGCAATTGTCGAGGACATACGTAGCAGGAATAGTACCAAGCGAACAAATACAGAATCAACAGAAATATACATGGGAGACAATATAGGAATATTCCCTGCAACAAAATCACAATCCTTGGTGTAATAAAACCACACGTGAACATAAAGTGAAAAGTGTTTTTTCACGCGAAAGGAAAAAAATAATAAATTAAATTAAATAGGACTTCATTCATCAAACACACACCGTGAGTTTCTATATTATGTATAATATATACACATACTAATATAGTATGCGGTATTCAGATTTATATTTTCTGATATGTTGATGAAAACGATGAAACCTCAGCTTAGTGCTGTTTCTCAGTCTCCGCCTGTGTTCTCTGTCGGACATTGTCGGAACATAATTTTGAATAAAAGGTCTACAACAAAACAAACGTAGTTAATCTAACTTATATTACACTATATAAACAGATACTGAAATAAGAAACAAACCATACGAATTAAATGAAGCAAATTTGTATATATTATGTCAAATTTTAAAGTTTTTAGTTTTAAGTTTATAAAAATTATCGAATAATTTCGTTTTCAGAATTCAAAGTTTTTACCTCAAAGTCCGAGTTCTTTAACTCTATTTATTTGGAGGTAGTATTATTGAACATGTCAGCCCCATTATAAAAACGTTACATCAAGAAAACAATAAAATAGAGACAGATAAATCAAAATATTACCTAACCAAACATGTATTGAAAACACCCAACACTAAAACAACCTGTGCAAATAACCGTACCCCTGATAGGTTCCGTCCGAACGCACTAGATGAGCAAATGATGTATACTCTCAGGAAATCCACTTCGCAATTCGGTGAATTCACCCTCCATCGCCTCGCATCAAATACAAAAAATTCGTAAATCGAATTGGTTGATCGATGCCTATGCGCGCTGACAATTTCACCCTTGCTTAATTTTACGTGGTCAAACCAAGGAACACAAGGAGGCTCACCCTGTATGTTCTTGTACCAGATTCCTTTTTAATATATAAAGAAAATAATGTAGTCTTATAACAGTAAGGGTGCGAAATAAAATAATGAAGGTACATTATTTTTGGTTCCTCACGTAAAACATGTATTGTGTCGCGAGAACCACTCCCAACGTTCAATATTTGTCTATGTCGAAAACTTCTTCAGCTCCCAAGAGCTTTGTACTCTAATTACTGCTCTAACGGGTCATGATCCATTTTCAACTTAGGTATCACGCACGGACGAGGACTGTCCGTGCGTATGTAGAGCGTGCGTGAAGGTAGAGCAAACAGCCGCGCATGTCCTACTACAATGTTCCGACATGGTCCGACAGGGCGTCGAACCTTGTTTTCACCAAATCCAGGAGGATGCTGAGATTCTTGAAGGAGTTCGGGTGGCATGAGTAGGAACCCGCACCCACTCCACAAAATTTCTACACTTCGACACCGACTAGTGGACACCAGCCCATTAGACCATACCACATGAGTAGTGACCGTACCTTAATTATAGGCTAATCACTAAAAACTTGTTAACGTTTAAACGTAAGAAGTTTATAAAATTATCAAAATTTTATCTCTATACTTTTTCAAATTATCAGTACACACACTTAGGCATCGGCTGAGTGAAAAGGTTCATAAATCTCTCACAAGGTATCAGTTACGACGTTGAAAGCCGATAAACCTCAATTAAAAAAATCTATAACAGACACATAGAAGAATTTCGTTGACCTGCTGACTCGAACTGTAGCTCAGTTGGCAAAGCTATGGTAAGGTATACATGAACGCAGGTTGAAGTCCTGTCGGATCGAAGGAATTTTTCTTTGTGTTCTTCTTTGTGTTAATAATTATAACAAACTAGTAGAGTTATTTCACAAAAATATACAAATATCACGGTGTTAAGCACCGTGAAACTCAATAAAAATCAAACGTACTCACTTGCTTGTAACCTGTATTCCCAAATCTAAAATTATTAGATTCTTTTCTAAGCTTTAGAACGTTAAAGCGGTACAGTGCGTGTAGTGTAATAGCAGGTTCTTCCGGTGTATAATTCCAGTAGTCACGAAGACTCAATCGATTCTCTGCGAAGGTGGAGACACATAAAAGCAATATAATTTATAGTAACCTGACTTCTAGCTCAATTGTACGTCAAAAAATATACTGACAGAAAGAGGCCACACAAACACACTAATAATATTTTATAATCAATTGGCATATACACAAACCGACTTATTTAGCAGAACACTAGTAAAATCTCCAAAATAATGAAGTGTTTTTTCGTTTCAGAAAAAAGAAAGATAAGTGAACGTGGGTTAAGAACGAATGAGTTACTTCTCGAAAGTTATTTCTTGTACCGATGGACGATGACACCAATTCTTTCACCTGTTCTAATTTCTCGTTGCCAATCCTAATCTTGCATTCTGTAATACACACACATTCACCTTCATTCCTTTTCTTTCTTTCTTTATCTTCATAACTGTTACTATGTCCTGCAATTGTTTTACTGAAGAAAGACTTGATCATCGCGATGTGGTTATGTCAATTAATCAGATTTTTCTTTGATCTGACAAATAAATAAAATGCTACTTCTACAGCAGAAATTTTCAGCACAAAGCAAACATCGTTATCAAGTATTAAATGTTGTGAACGACTAGCAAAATTCGAAGTCGGTGTAAAACGGTTCATCTTTCAGATGCTGATGTCTACAAGTACTAAAGGTACCAGGGACAATAGACTGTACATTGTGCCTGGTTAGTAAAGTTACCATCATCTGTTTTCAATGTTTTTTTTATACTTACCTTTCTTGCCATGTGGTATCTCATGAGGCCTAGTATCTGTTATCATTTTAGTTTCAAATTTCCGACAGATATTAGTTTCCTCTTTCCTAATGCCCGGCCTCGCGAATCGTGTATGATGTTGTTTGACAATACTGGATGCGATTGGTTTATGCATAAATAAATTTTCATCAAATGACTCGTTTCTTGTGTCTTCAGATTCGTAATTGGTCAGTAGATATTTTTTATCCACACCACGTTCACATTTTTGTTTTACTAAGGACTTCTGAATGTTGGCGTATTTTGGTGTAAGAATGTAATTATTGTCAATGTGATATTGTGCTTTATCCACTAATTTTGTTTCACTTGATAACGTAAACAGATTCTTATCATTACTGGCGTGTTTAAAGACGTTGAATTTTATGTTTGCCTTTGAAACGTCCCTTCGTTTTGGATTCTTGGTTGGTAAATTTTTCGAACTGGCTTCTTTTTGTTGGTTTATTTTATTCGCAATTAATTCTGCTTCTTGCATGACTTCCTTTGTTACAAACTTTTGTGGGTTATTGGTAATTGAATCTGTTTTATACCTACGTATCGGCTTAGAAAAATATAACGTGTCATTTTGTATCAAGGTACTTAAATATTTTCCTTTAACTAAGTATTGTGGCTCATCAATATAATATTCGCCTGTATCTATATCTTGCTTTTTGTCGTAATTCCAATAATACATAATATTATTATAATCAGCTTCGTTATTTTTGGCAATATAATTACGTTTACTTATATCGTTACGTCCTTCGCTGTAATCCAAAGGTTTCCAGTCATAATTAACTTCCTCGTTTATCAGTGTGTTTTTCGAGCGTTTGATACGTCTAAATTTATTTATTGTATCTATTTTGGCCTCTGGATAATAATTGAAATATGTAAGATTGTTTTTCTTTGATAATCCTGTTGTTATTAAAGTGGTAGACAGAGGCAACGCAGTTGTTGTATCACAATTACTTTGGAAATAATTGCAATCCTCTGTGCAAACAGTTGAATTGGTAACAGCCATTTCATCGTAGTGCCTTTCTGTAAATGTTAAATTTGGCAGATGCAGATCACATTCCTGCCTTTCGCAATAGTCTCACGTAGTAGTCTTAGAATGTTTGCTTTGTGAGTCAGGCGCGCGCTGCAGCTCCGTTGCGAGGCTGATACGTGAGACAATGCTGCGGCTGGCATGTAGCCAGATCAGTGTCGAGAATTTGACATGTTAAAAAATGTACGACATTCCACATCTTGGGTAATGCACGACGTGCGTTTGGCTCAAATAAGCAAGGCGTGCTCACACTGAGCAGGGCTATGCATAGAGGGGTAATTCAGTAATGAAAACCAAGTATTAATAGAAAATTAAAATGGTGTTAACTAATTTTGACATATAATATTATAGTACGGAGACAGACTAAAATAAACAAGCTTTTGAAGGCGTTACCTTTCAGTTGTGCTCAAAAAATGAGTAATTTTACTACAATTCAAGCAACTGCAAATTTAGTATTGTACCTCAAACGTAATAAACAATATATTGTTGTTTTTTTAATTCTTGCCGTTATGGAAAAGCATATATGATTTAAAACCATTCAGCCAAGTTGGTGAATTTTTCTTTTACTAGTATAAATCATTGTGCAAGGAGGATTTGAAATATAGGGTACAATGGGTACAATTCATTAACGAACCTTAGCCGACGTTTATAAGATTGCATTATGGGCTTTTATTAGACGGACTGTAAGTTTGCATTTGTAAGTTCAACTGCTTTATGGCGGCCACTAGGCCTGTGCCAGCATCAGTTTTGTACGTAGAGGGAGAATAAAAAAAAAGAATAGAGAAGCTTCTCGCGTATACTGAAAAGGGATACCAACAGAGTACCTATAAATTCTGGGTTGTCTACTTTTAAAATTTTACCCCGTTAAAGAAATTGAGAAGAAAATGAAGCCGTGGTAGCCTAATGGTTTGACCTAGTGCCTCTCAAGCAGAGGGTCGTGGGTTCGAATCCAGACTCGCACCTCTGAGTTTCTCGCAATTTGTGCGAAATTTAATTTGATATTTATCATGAGCTTTTCGGTGAAGGAAAACATCGTGATGAAACTTTGAAGAAGGTTCAAAGTCCTCGGAAAACGTGTGCAATCCCCAACCCTCATTGGGCCAGTGTGGTGGACTGTCGCCTATGCACTCGCCTGAGAGGAGACACGTGCCCAGCAGTGGGACGTATTAATGGTTTCATGATAATGATGAAATCTGCCGAGTTTAAGGAGGGAGAATCCGCCAGACCACATTTAGCTTGGTTGAGTTTTAGTAACCAAATAAAACAATTATGACAAATCATTACTTTTTTATTGGCCCTTGAACAGTATTAACTTAGTATACATATTTCGAACTGAAAAAGTATTGAAAAGTAAAAAAAATACAATATTTAAAGTGACCCATAAATTGGGGAAAAGATAGTGGCAAAAGCACGGTATACCTAAAATCAGCTTAAGCCTGTCTGATTTAATTTATGCGTTATTTATTTGATCTCTCTTTTTCGCGTATCATAACCACTGGTGGTAGAAGTGAGATGGACATGTATCTATATACGTTATATGTGTTAAAGTTGTCAGTGGGGAAAAATCGGAAACGAGTGGATAGTTTTAAGGAACTGATAATGCTTAGTAATGAGTCTTGTATAATCAAAATTAAATATATAATTATTTACCAATAAATTTAACGATGGAATTGCATTATCATTGTAGTCTAGTTCAATTCAAAGTTCTATTAAAATTTGACTTCAAAATGAAGCGAACAAACGAAAATGGTATTTGATCTAATGTTTATGTTGGCCAGTCCTATAATTTCCAACCGTTCTTTCTTTCTTTTTAAATTGATTTGTTACCTTTAAAAATAAAAATAATAATAATGAAATAATAAAAACCTCGTAATGAATTGTTTTAATAACAGAATATTGGTAATATGTATTCTTACAAGAACAACACTATATCAAAATAATTGTTATCAACAATCATCAAAATATATAAACAAACAGTCAATCTAAAGTAACCAAAGCAAAATTTGGCAAGACTTATGAATAAACTACTTAAATAAGTCTAATGACATGATAGGCATATTTGGGCTATAGTATCATTTATAGATAGTAAAATAACACATGCCAGTGCAATGTAACATTCGGTTGATTTTCGTTTTTTCTAATGCCGCATCCCTTAGCGACACATTTTTGGCAATAGTTAATTGTTGTCACCATTGACCTACTAAGTTTTCACTGTCAATATTTTTGTCCATTTAATTACAATTCATGCGAATAAGTCAATAAAACATTTGGCGAAACATTGGTTTCGATATTTGATGTACTTCCCTTTGACAACCGTCTCCGTACTCCAAAAATGGCGAAATGGACAGTTGACATTTAAGAAGACGTTAAGTATTTTCGATTCCCGTGTTTAGCACGTAGCGCAAAACGACGGGTCTATAGATACAAAAGTTGAAGTTGAAGTTTCGCACGTACTAATGTAACGCTATCTTATTCGGGTTACGACGGTACGTAGTAGTTAAACAAAGACAATAACATGTTTATGTTTTCAACGTCGAAATGCATCATATACATATAACGTCTGATTTATATAATAATATGCCAATATATAACATGTCCTTTGGTTTCCATAATCGGATAAAGTTCATTTCACATGGGATGAGCCCGGTGACGTTCGAGATTTGAAGTTTCTAGAGATGTAGTGATGTAAAACCGCATGAAAAAAAAATCGATTCAAATAATTTATAACGAAGACAACATCGATATACAAAAAATATTTTAACAACAAATAATGGACAAAATAGAAAGGATTCAACTAATAAGTTACCAAAAAAACTACACAACAAATTAAAAAAACAACAGCAACCAAACAAAAAGTCAACAACAAAGCATAAAATCATCTGCAACGAAACGAAATTTGAACAATTACTTCAAAAACATCACGCAAAGCTCAAAACAAAAGAAAAAGACCCGCATACAAGATGTACGCACTCGTATTGACGCGAGATGCACAATATTCGGTTTGGTTTATGGATTTCATGTCATCTCTATGGATAAAATATCCCGTTTTACGCATCAAGTAATTGGGGTAATTATTTTTATCTTTGTCATTTCATTTTCATTTTCTTTCTTTCTTTCTACTGTAATTTTTATCAACAAATTTAATATTGCTTGTTTTTGGTATAAGTATTATGACATATTTACTATGTATTGTCCTAACCTGGTTGAGAGATTAGTTACAAATAGTATGGTGGAAAGCTTAGACGATGGAAAAATAGTCTAAGGTGGAAAGTAAAAATTGTAAATGTCACAGAACTCATCCCTATTGAAATGGATGTTAGTAGATAGATTAAAAAGTTTAGAGCAGCGGACAGAAATGGATTTTCACATTATGTTGGGACCTAAGTATCCCGCTGGGAGACAGGCGTAATGATAATATGTATGTCTGTAAATACATAAACATGTTCAAGTAATTTTTAAATCAAGTAACTACACCTACTTGAAACTGATTATTATTTTAAGCAGCCTGACTAAAGCTGACGAGGGTAGCGACAATGTTGCGTTAAAGTTGTTATTTGACTTACTAGGTTTGTTAAATGTATTAAGTATATTTATAATTATCTTGTTTAAATATTGTTTCGTAAAACCTAAACTTCTGCTATATTATAAATAAATAAATAGGTAGGTACTATCATTGAAATCATTTATGTATACACCAAGTTACAATTTTACAAAACAAACAATTATAATAACAATGATTTTTGTACATCGCGACCCTTAAAAGCAATATAACATTACTGTATCCTTGCCATTAAAATACTGATTTTTCGGCGTCACTGTAGAGTGTCCTCAGGAGATAACTTCACACATCCTGAAAATGTTAATGGGATATCATTGATTTGACCTGAGAATCAACATTCACTGGGTGATCAACAAATTTTAATTCTAAAGGTTAATAAAATGTTTCCAAGGTCAAAGGTCAATTGAAGTTTATGTTTATACAATATTTCTTATTTTAAATCGAAGTTCTTTCTATTTTTGCTAGCGTGACGTCGTTGTCTTTCCTATTAACTGCAAGCAGGTAAATTTTCCGAATTAGATAATTTAGAAAACACGACATAGGATTACATACGAGTTACCTTGCGCAGAGGCAAAGAACCATGACTTTAATGATGATAGGGGCAATTTCAGTACATCCTTGTGTATTAATTTTTGCCAATTGCCCAGAATTCTTCAGCTTTTTTATTTGAGCAATTTTAAGTAAATAATAGATTGAAAATTGTATGTAAATTAAATTGCTACTTGGCGAACCTGGTGAAGGTTAAATCATGCAAAAAAATTAGGCTTGTGTTGAGTATTTTTTCATGCAGTTAATATACTCACAATCAAACAAAAAAAAAATTAATAAAATAAATAACACAAGCGCAACTACAGTCACAGATACCATCACCAAAAATATACCAGACACATTTTCGTGTCTCTACGAGTGTCAACAACCTCTGAGGATAGAGGTTGTTGACACTCGGCCGAAGGCTGATGATGATTCCCAAAGTGATGACAGGGATTCCACATCAGACTCTGAAAGTGTTCCAAATGCAAGACTACAATACCTTATCAGCCTTATAAAACATCACAAAGGTTTATAGTTTGATATATTATATGGAGGTTGGTGAAAATTACTATCGATATCGACTTAAAATTTGACATAGATATACAACTTGGCTTCACGCATTCAAGTCATCTTTGTTTTTAAAGAATTTTAAAGTTGCCCAACTGACTTACTGGTCGAAAGAAAAGGGCTCTATTTAGATATTCCCATCATCATCCCAAAAAAAGTCCTTTTCCGGGGGACAATTTAAATAATATTTGGAAATTATACTGCGAAAATTCTAAATAATGATGCGGATTTAAGTTGATTAATCCCTTATTGCTTTATTGTCATTGTAAGACAAAAAAGACAAGATCAATGGAGGAAACCTTTTGAACTAAGTATCTTTTTAATAAAAATACAATACTTAAGTAAATTAATGAAACTAACCCCCTTTGTCGACACACTCCTTTGCCTTCTATTCTATCGCAGCTTAATTTAAATATATTATAGGTTTTCAATGAACGTAAAACTATTATATATTGACTTGCAAGGTAAAATATGCTTTTATTCCTCTCTCTAACCGCTCACGCGATGCGCTCATCCTACCGCAAAATGGCGGCTATTTGGTTTCGCAAATTAGAAAAGGATTCAGTTTAAATACAAGTTTTTACAAATAAAAATTATTATTCTGCATTGCTAAATAAATACCCTCCGTGCTACAACAAAAACATCTCAAATAAAATGCAGTAATACACCGCAAATCCTGCACTTAAAAAGCACTAATGAAATTTTTGATGTACTTGGGTAAATATGATAATATTCCGTTTGAGTAGTTCTAACGTTAACCATGAAATTACTCCTTAAAGTATAGTTTATAAACATTTATATTCAGGGTAAACTTAAAAAACGCTACTTACGGTATGTTTTCAATAAATAAACACCGAAATGACCAGCTCAAACAATAACACACACGAGTGTCGTGACGTATTTTTGAAGTTGTTTATTTTTTTTAAATGACAGACCCAGGCATTAAAAACTTTATGGTTTGCTAGAGTAGTTACCGAAATAGCAATTAGTATTAGTTCTTTTACCTGTTATAACTTCGATATCCGATAAATCGGTATAAAATGCTGCATGTATCGCGTGAGCGGATAAAAAGCCATGGCGCTACGTTTTTTAACTTAACTGTTTATCGCATTTTTTTCTTACTTTGCAATGTGTGATAAATAATTCTTCAGCATATTCAACTTCTTGTTTAGGCTTAAGGTTCACGTTTAGAGGTTCCAGATTCATCTGAATCGTCATTTGAGTCTTTATTTGAACTTTCTTCTTCTTCTTTTTCTTTTTCTTCTTTTTTATTTAAATTTTCATTTGAGGCTTTATTGGAATTTTCACTTGAATGTTCTTCTAAGTGTTCATTTGAATCATCACTTAACTGTTCATCTGAGTCTTCTTTTGAATCTCCACTTGCATAATCTTTTAATTTTTCTTTTGAATGTTTGTTTGAATCGTCACTAGAAGGTTTCTTTGAGTGTTTGGTTTTTGGTTTGGTTTTTTCTTTTTTGGGCTTTTCCTTTTTTTCCTTTTTTCCCTTTTTTTCCTTTTTTTCCTTTTGATCCTTTTTTTCCTTTTTTTTGGTCCTTTTATCCTTTTTTACGTGTTTTTTGCCCTTTTTTTTACTATGTCCAGGTTTTTTATTAAAATGAGGTTTCAATTCCAGAACCTTTTCTCTACAAAAAAGATTAAAAATTGCTATGCAAAATTGAAATTACCTTTTCATTTTATTGAATACCATGTTTTTATTACATGATATTCATCTTTTTACTACGGTACTAAGAGTCCTTCAGAGGCTCTTTAATTCAGTTTTGCTCGAATATTCTAAGCTAATAGAAGAGTGGTGATACTCTTCTTCAAAAAGGGAGATAACACCATACTGAAAAACTGCCCATCTCGCTTCTAGGCCACGTTTATAAGCTGTTTTCAAGAGTCATCACGAACCAATTCGCGCGCAGAATCGATGACTTCCAGCCCCTCGAACAATTCGGTTTCCGAAAGGGCTTCAGTACCATAGATCACATCCACACGGTGCGGCAGGTTATACAGAAGACCGAGGAGTATAAGCTGCCATTAGGCTTAGTGTTTGTGGACTATGAGAAAGCCTTTGATTCGATCGAGGTTTGAGCGGTGCTACAATCTCATAACGGTGCGACATTGACTATCGATATATCGATGTGTTGAAATGATTGTACAGAAATGTTACTGTCAGTTCGATTCCAGGATCAGTGCACAAGGCCATTGCAAAGAGGGGGGTGACAGGGAGACGTCATTTCTCCGAAACTATTCACCACTGCATTAGAAGATGTCTTTAAGTTACTGGAATGGAAAGGACTCGGCATCAACATCAAAGGCGAGTACATCACTCACCTTCGGTTTGCTGATGATATCGGAGTCAAGGCAGAATCGTTGGAAGAGCTTGGCAAATTCTCGGTGACCTCAATAGAGTTTCCCAGCAGGTGGGAATATAAATGGACAAACTTATGTCGAATGTCCATGTCGTACCCACCTCTATAACAGTGGGAACATCTACTCTCGAAGTCGAGTATGTCTACTTCGAAGACAAAAGTCTTCGAACAGTGCGATTACTTACGGTTCTGAGACATGGTCATTTACTATGGGCCTTATAAAAAAGCTCAAAGTCACAGTTGTACCGTGAATAGTGATTGGTACATGACCATTTGTCTGCCGGAAGTTATTGACAAACTCCGCATAAATAACCGCAAACGCCGTATCATCTTGCACCACGATAATGCCAGTTCTCACACGGCCAGACAGACAAATGAATTTTCGAAAGTGAACATCGTTGACCTTATGAGCCATCCCGCATACAGTCCCGACCTGGCACCTTGTGACTTTTATTTATTACCAAAAATTAAGAACCAGTTACGCAGTCAACGATTTACATCACCTGAAGAGGCTGTCGAAGAGTATGAAAAATATGTTTGAGAAATTGCCACGGAGGAGTGGCATAAATGTTTTCAAAATTGGTTCATTCGTATGAAAAAGTTCATTAACGCTAACATATAATATTTTGAGAAACAATAAATTAATTTCTGACCATTTATAGTATTTTTTTAACCATTCCGGAAACTTACAGTGCGCCTCACGTACAAGGAGTCCATTTTGAAAAAAAAAATTTTTAGAAAATATGTCTTGTATCTTTCTTAGGTCGGACACTTTTCAGACCACTCTCGTAAACCAACATAATATAGAAAGGTGTCTGTACTTACAAAGGAATACATAATATTACTCGCTGCTTTAACCTGAAATACATTAAACACGAGTAAAATATAACCATTTTATGTAAAGCGGTTCAGACATATTATGTATATCCAAAAATATATGATTTTTGAATCGATTTCATTAAAATCAATATAATAAAATACAGTTTTCATTAATGTATATAATGATATATCGAGCGGGCCAATCATAACTTTTCAAAAACCAATCTCATTTCAATGTAAGCTTATGAGGTCATAATCGTACCATGATAAATTAGTCAACCAAGTAATGTATTATTGTGATAGGATGTTCTATAAAAATAGGAAAGAAATAACCCTATATGAACTGTAATAATGCCATCTCTTTCTTTGTTGACCATCCTAAACCGTGGTAAATACTGAAGTACTACTCATTACATTACTTACACAGGGTGAAATTGAAAACTTGCTACAAATCGAAATGGGAGGTTCACTAACAGTTATATGATCGTTTGGAAGCATAGATTCCTTAAGAGGCCCCGCAGTGGGCGCTGAAGGGTCCTAGGGGGGCGTAAGGGGCCTCGGAAGAAATTGAGGGGCGTTGATGATGTCCAGGGGGTGCTACCTTTGATGGTGATACCTTACATTTGAAAAACACGTGAATTATCATATAAACTGCACTACATATTGTATTTTTTGACCTTGTGATTTTTTTTGGTGGGCGTTGAAATTTTTTTATCTTGCCTAAGTGGGAGGTGAGCCAAAAAGTGATTTCTTATCATCTTAGATAGTTTTAGGTAGTTTTATCATCTTAGTAGTTTTAGTAATACTATAAAATAAAATCAAAACAATTAGGGACATTAAAGTAACAATTTGGGCGCGCCCGATAGGAATCCAATCCTTTCATCGCTGAGTTTTTTATTTCGTGAAATACGGCCACGGTTTATACTTGCGGTCAATTACTTAATAATAACAATATCGAAAAAAGTAATAAGAGCACCTGGGTGACGTTACCAAATCATGTTGCATCCCTGCCGCCGCCCTCCGCATGCACTACGGAAAGAGAGAGGTCATGGTCGCGCGCGCAATTCGTAACATTGCGAATATTCGATGGTGTAATTTTTTTTTTATTAATTTTTTTTTATTCACAATTAAAAAGTTTACAAAAAGGAACACAAGACAGCTAATAAAAACCATAAACAGATTTATGTATCGCTGCCATCACATGCTATCAGGCGTCTAACAAAATAATTGCTGACCAATACTTATACGTAGGTATCTAATAATTTACGCGACTTACACTTAAGAACTAATAACTTTAACAATTTGATAAATGAATTGACTTAAGGATCGTTTTACAATTTTTTGGTTTACCTATAAGTTTATCAAAAACGTCACTTGGAAATTTATTATAAGCAGTAATGGCAACATATTTATATCTCCAGGCACGCTTTCCATAGTTGTTATTGTATGGAGAAAGAACATACCTTAGTAATTTAGATTACGCAATTTACCGATTCTTGTAGTTTGTTTTAACATGTCAATTTTATCTATTTCATCACAAATTATCATTATATATTATATATTTATTTTACTATGTATATCTAAGGTTTTACAGTATCTAAACAAGTTGTTACAATCATTTCTATATTTATTTTTAAATGATATTGGCACAAAAGGTTTTAGTAGCCTTATTTGTACTTTATAAATATCATCTAAGTATGTTTTGTATGTTCTACCATAACTACTGAGCCTGTATTCAATTATTGAATCAGCCAATGCACACAAACAGCATTCTTAATGTTTTGTAAGGTAACATTTGTTTCAGCAAGGATAGTTTTGACAAGACTGCTCTCAACTTCTTACATACCATAGTTTATTAGAGGTTTCCAGTTAAACTTATTGTCTAATATTAGACCGAGATACATATGCTGTGAGACAGATTCCAATTCCCCAGTTACATGAACAACAGTTAGATGACACAATACAATTCGTGTGCATGCATTGATGAGTGTGCGCACGTATCACTTTCGCCCATTTGCACAATTTAGGTGGGGAGAGTGGATATGGTCCACCTATGAATTTCGTCTTTTCATAATTAATAATCAAACCAACGTCGTGCGTCCACTTACACAATAAATCAAGGTTAGTCTGAATAATGTTCTGTGCGTCGTTTAAGTTTCTATCAGCCACTAGCAGGCATGTGTCATCAGCAAATTGATATACAGAACCCTCTCTAAATATATTGCACATGTCGTTACAAAAAAGTAAGTACTCAGTCGGCCCAAGCACCGACCTTTGAGCCGTGTCTTCTTCAGTCTGAATAAAGCGACTGTATTCATTACCTATTTTCACTGCGGTTTTTCGATTACTATGATAGTTTTTAAGAAAATTCAGAGTGGGGCCTTGTATACCACTTTGTGAGAGCTTTGAGTACAATGTTGTAAACTTTAAAGTATCGAACGCTTTACTAAAATCAACAAATAGAGCAATGACATGTTTTTTATCATTTAAATAAGTATTCTCATTAGTGAAATTACATAGCAACTGGGAAGTATTTTTATTTTTTTGAAATCCGTGTTGACTATGTATTATTTTATTATCTATTAAAAATGTATTAACTTAGGTAATGACCTATGTATTTTTCTATTACTTTGTCTATACATGATAGTATAGTAATTGGTCTATAATTATTTATGTTTTTATAATTACCCTTTTTACGTATTAGCCTTGTAGTACCAATTTTTAATTTATTTAATAATGTTGATGTGATGTGAATGATATTGAAATGCCTAGGACAAGAGGAAAATCGTGTACTATTTATCAACGAGCAATACCTTAACATGGTTACTTTATTCATGGTTACATTAATGCTCCGACTGAAATTTAAAGACAATTTTATGCAATCATGTTTGCAAAATGGCGGTGGCCACTTTGAGCAATTAATAGAATACACGTAAGTGATTCTGATCACACTTATTTTGAAAACATTGTAAATACCGTGATTCTTTTCAACTTTTTAAATACGCCAAAAATGCAATAGTTGTTGGTAATAAATAATGAGATTTAGTTTTTTTTATCGAAGCCATTACCATAATACCATAATAGTCACATATTACTATTATGGTATTTTTGATCGTCCTAAGCCGTTAAAAGTATGAAAGGGAAGTTGGTTTTTAATTGTTTACAATCACAAAAGTGTGGGCGCAGGTGCGTGCGGGCAACAACAGCAAGGCAGGGCGCGGTGCGATTTAGTACGTGCGTGATTACGCTAGGGGCAATATGAAAAATTATTTGATTGATACTTTGATTGTTGCAATTTTTTCGCAATACTAAAGAAAATATATTAATATTCCGAAATAACATCCTCTGAATTTTATTTGTTACACATAAAATTATATATTTAAATTTGTAGCATCTATTCAATTTCACCATGTATACCTCAGAGGTTTTTAGGTGCCAAAAAAGAAAAGTATGCAATAATCAATTCTATTAAGATTACGTTCTTTTCAATTACCTTTGTTAATTTTCACGTGGAAAACTAAATAAATCAAGCTTAGCATTAATTGTCACATAGTAAATTCGGAATTTATCTAGTGTCGCATAATTTTTCATAACGTAAATAGGCATTGGAATGATTTATGTATATTAATAAGTTAACTTACTTTTATTCATCTCCTATCAATATTTAGAAAATAAATTCGGTAATTATTTGTTAAGTAAGGCTGCAAAGTTATTTTTTGACGCGAGTGCTTGTTTTGATTGAATTGCTTGGATTGAAACCTGAGCAAGCGAAGGAAGCTAAGATTGAATTGATTGATTGGTTCAAAAGTAGATTCCTGAGCGTAGCGAGGGTTTCAAGCCACGAGACGCAAAACAATTTTGCTGCCGAGAGAAACACACAAGTTTTCACCTCACTATAGCGTGTAAAATGGTAGATGAAAGAAAAACAGTTGAACTTCAAAGCATCAGTTTTTTTTAATTAAAAGAAAAAGTTAAACTTCGAACGCTTTCTAATTTACACCTCGTCAATTATTATTCTTGCGTACTTTTATTTTGTGTGATTAAGTGATTATTGAAATTATTTTTTTTTTCACGAATTAAAATAATTTAATAAACACAAGTAGTTAACATTGTCAATTTAATGTCAACCATAATAAGAATAAAATATACCAACGGATTTATATATATTATATAAATAAGTAATGTATATTACATAAACAAATAAGTAAAATCGCATAGTTGAACGTGTCATTGTCCTTTTTTTTTCATCGAAAGGAAAAGTTTGGTGCATCACACCACAGTCCGTCGTCAAGTTCGAATTTCAAAAACCTTTTCTACGTTAGCGTACAAAAAACGCTTTTTGCGCGCAGATTTCTAATGAGAAAGAAAGCTTTCCGAGCTAGTGAGGTGAAAATAAATTATTTTCATTGCGTACAGGGTCAAGAGCGCGTGAAGCTTGACACATAAAGACTTAAATCCTACCCTATGCCGCTTACGATAAGAACGGTCCAAAATACAAAGTGTCAAGCTTGATGGGTTCTAGGTTGTAAAAGTAACTATTTTAGGTTTATCGAGTGAGGTTTTCGCGATTGTTACAATAGCAAATGAAACTATTTTTCCGGATTTAAATCGCGTATATTTGTTTTATCGACCAACGTTTCGGACCCTTTACAGGTCCCATGGTCACGGTTGACTGAGTGTCAATATATATTTTAGGATTGTTAAAGACACAAGAACGATATTGCCGTAATGTCAAAGTCGCGTGTAAGAGAGAAATTGAGAGAATGAATTGTCACAAACCTGCCTGCCTATAAAAGATCATAGGTTTAGTATACATAGCATTAGTTCACGGCACGAAAAGTCAAGGTTAAAATATTGTTTTAGGAGGTTATGATTTTTCTAAAATACACGCGAGATAAGCTTTTGTGTAGTCATTTGTTTATTGTTGTGTTGAATAATCCAATTTAAAAAAAAATTTAATTTATTAATTTAAGCAACAATAAAGGGTTTCTCCATGTGTGTGTTTATGTGTGTGTATATATAGGTTGGAACAGAATGACCAATGCTGTGACCATAAAGTACTTTCCAATTAAAAGGACCTTAATATGGGTATCATATCGAACGGAAATACAGATTTAGCGATATCTAGCGACATTTAAACTTTCTTTTTAATGATATTTGCTTTAGTTTAGTTGGGAACACTGCTTTCTTATTCATAAGTTAGTTCGAATTGGCTGGCTGTATGGTATTCGTGATCTCAAGTTTTTCTCGTGTTTACTACACAAAATAACGTTTACTTATTAATTTTTGGGCTGTGACAGCAACTTCTTGGAATAGTGACGTTATTAAGTAGTGTTTGTGATAAGCAAGTAAATTCTATTAGTGCACAGTCTTTGTGTGGAAAACCACATCGGCGCGGCGGCGTGTGACCGGCACACCCAGGAATGTATCTGGAAAGTCTGCAAGAGTAAACGGGACGTGAACAAATTGAACATCCTTTTAATTTAAAGTAAGTTCAATGTACTAGGTAAGCAGTTCTTTCTCACTTTCTATTTCTCCCGCAGGTGCCGATGACACGAACGCTGCCTGTGGGGCGATAGATGTACTAACGTCATTCATTCGCTTACGGTTGTCGCAACGCGAAAAGTTTACATCTGGACAGATTTTATATTTATAGTAAATAAAACTCGTATGTGTAGGGTTCTTATCGTGATACTTTCGGCTTTGTTGGTCATTCCATTTTACCCAAAATTTTGCAAACGTTTTGTATATTCGATTCGACAACAAAATATAGGTCATATTATACAAACCTCAAACAATACAGCGCCACTAAGGTAAAAGTGATAAGAAATGTGGTTGCTATTCCGATCAAAACTTGAAGAGATAGGTACTAAAATATAAAAAAAAACATGAATAATAATATATCAGACAACTATACTAATTGTTAGGTCTCAAAGAAATTTCTTGCAGGTACTATGAACATCAGAGTGAACTCCAAAATTACACGAGAACTAATTTTTTAAATTAAAACGGGACATCTGTTTGACTCGAAATGTTTCTGCCTAAAATCCGAGCAAGAACTTATCGCACCTTTAGAATGAAAGTGACCTAATTCAAAAAATTAATAACATCAGTTTTAAACTATAAAATGATCTTGGATCTGGAGCTGACCCATTAAAGCATGAATTGTACACTCTCCATTTGGGTATCTTTTATATGTATGTTTCAAATTCCACTCCCGCGTCGATACGTTAACGCCGCGTTTAGTTTTCATCTGCAAAGACAACACGAAACAGTGATGGATTGGCAATTGAGACATTTTCGTTCCGAAAATCATCACAAAATTTTCACGAACTCGACTTACTTTATTACTTAGATGGTTTTCTTTGACGGCTTAATCTTGTTAACCACATAACAACTCACTTAGCTGGTAAAAATGTTACAGACTTAACTTTTGTTAGGTCAACTGACAGCAAAAATGTTCAGTTATAAAAGTAACCCTATAGCGAGTCAATATTTTCCAGGATTAATGTAATTTTTTATTAAGTATTTTAAGAGTAATAAATTAAACAATGTGAAAATGTCACAATTTCAAATCCTATTTTGTGTATTGCCTTAAAGTTGGAATTTATGTTGAGTCACTTTCATTTCAAAGGTGCGTTATGTAAAAGAAGTATAGCTTAGTAGACGAAGGGATTCGAGTACAACATACGTTTCCATATTCGTGGATTTGGTTTCCATTAAATGACTAGTTTATTGACCAAAACCTTGACCCATGCACATTGACTTACAAATAAATGGACGACGGGTCTAATACAAAAACCACAAAAAAATGTCCCAAGTCAACCTATTTAAACGTAGCGACATGTAAAGGAATATGAAAAAGCTAAAACGTTGAATTTAAATTGTAATGTCATCGCAGTACTGTCTAATTTTACTTGCTTCGCTGTCAGTCGAACAAACGAAGACTAAAGCGTGAATGACGCTCTGTATACGATTTTAACGCCCTATAAGTTCGGGCACTTTTTAGCGCGGACCCGACGTCCATATAATTGTAAGTCCATGCATTAAAGTATAAGCTAAACACATCTGATGCCTGGTCATATTGATTTAAATATATCTGATTTGTGATCATTCTCAATGTCTGGTAAATTTGATAAACGTATGCACTGCATTATAATGAGTTCACTCTACAAAGTTGCTTTCGCGCCACCTGAATGATACGGGCCAGAGCGAGCGCGTTGCTTAGCGTACATTTTTTTAAACTAACGTCATAATATTTTTATAACTGATAATTAGATTTATCGAATTAATCGATTAGAAATTAATTCGCAATTCACGACACGGTTGAAAAAAGTGATATTTAGTTCACTAAACCTATACATGAAGAAATTTTGAAGAAAACCGGAATATTGTTATCAAGGTTCACTTTGTGCTTACAGAACACGTCGACGACCCAACTGACATTTAAAAAACCGGATTTTACGCATTTGGATTAACTGTAAATATTGTTCTAAAAATTATAAAAACAAAATTGATCTATGCCATCTAGCGGTGTGCGAGAGAACTTTATTTGTGTTGTAGCATAGTATGAATTTGATGAAACTGAAATGGATATTCTTTAATTTGATAATGCAATAAAAATAAATCTGATCGTCCAGTGTCATATTAAATAAAGTTTGTACCCGTATACAAACATTACAGAAGTCTTCTTTGAACCTGTCTACCCACAAAGTGCTACATATATACTGTTGATATTCGTATATTCGAACACTTATATTATCGTTATCCAGGTCCCCGACACCTGCAACCAATAATATGTCGTTAGTATTTTTCTTTCTTTCTATAAGGAACCAATACACTTTTTGGCATATTTAGCGCAACTTTAGTAAAATCTCCAAAAGAATGCAATGCAAATTTTTGAGATTTCTGGTCGGTTATTTGTACCTTTTAATTAAAAAAAAGACGGCTGTAATTTTTTCATTGTTTTAATTTCCTATTAGTTAATACAGCCCTGTCGAGCCACGTGTTTGATTTTGCGTTCTTGAAGATTATGTAAAGGTTGTTCTATGTGATAAAGTTTGATTTTATCAGTATTCAACTGTCACAATTTTTAAAATTTCAGCCATTTCTGTTTTGTCATAAAATATAAAGAAATGCATTTTGTTTTATTTCGATTTTTTCCAATAAAGGTTGAGTAAGGCCGTACTTAATGGACAGATGTTAGAATATGATAATATTCTAACATAATACATAATATTATAATTTTGGTTATCTTTTTTGCAGACGGGTGTGTGGCGAGCTATATAATATATTGAATATGTGTAATGTTTATATACTACTAAATATATATGTGTGATATTTGTATTATGATAACTTTTGCTTATAAATGTTTGTAGGTTTAGCACTAGTATTGATTAAGTTGTAATTTAGATATTCAATTGTGAAGGTTTGTAATAGGCTTTCCGTTGTTATTTTGTGTTATATATCATTGTTTAAGCTGTAAACCTTCCTAAAATAAATAAAATAAAAATAAAATACCTAATTGCTACTTTACGTGTAATTCTTATTAATTTCAATAAGTAAACGTACTTTGTATTTTATTTGCACTTAATTTTTGTTTCACTATATGTGTTGGTATGTGTATTATGTTCGTTTTGTCTGATTCTCTCGTTATAAATGAAAAGATTAGCTTCTACACATTGACATCCCTAAACGATAGCCACTTATCGGATTATGCGTGCTTGTGAATTGCCTGGTTGTGTATTCAAAGCAACCTGACAATGGTATCCTATGGTGACCAAGACTATAAACGGTTTGTTACCGCTGCCGCTGCTACGCTTCGGAACACGCCAGACCACAGACATACCTAGATGGACACCGCAAGTACATCAATTTGTATATAAACCAGGTGTGCTACATTTTTGTACCCACTACGGCGTCACAAGAACTATTTAGTGATGGGAAACCTTTTTCCTCGTTAAATCAATTGATTGAACGGAATACGCGATAATACACGTATTCAATTCAATTAATCGATTCTAAAATAATTGAATGATGATTGTTCAAGTATTTGTAGATTACAAGTAGTCGTGAAATATTAATATAGTAGAAGAATACTAGAATTAGATAGTTACGTCCTATATTAAAACTTGGTTTAAAAAAAATGTTATCGACTTTAAATATTAAAATTATAGTCCTTGCAATAAAATGAGCTTATTATCTAACTGTCTTTTAGTAATAGAAGATCTTATCGATTGATTTAAACAATAAATAATGAAAACGCTCGTCAATATATGAACTTGCAACTGCCCTAATTAAATTGACTAGATGGTTTTCTGTTGGTGATTGATCAAATTGATGAATGGGGAGACAACTGAAAATGTTACTGCTGACAAAATATCGTTAAATCTCTTTAGAGGTTTATTTAATGGCGGCCTCGTGTAATTTTTGTGATTTGTTCATTATTTAGCGGATTTCCAAGTCTGCAACTTTGCATATGTAGATAGCATCTCTAGTGGGATAAACTAGACCACCTTCGTTCTTGAAAGCAACGAACTCATACGTATGACCATCTCCAGGTTTTTGTAAAGACGTTACGTACTGTTACGCTACATTCTTTGCATTTTATATTTTTTTGTATTACTCGTACTACATAGCCGGAGATGCATACATAATTATCTGCTCACTAAATTTGGACATTTGAGGCAACGTGCTGCAAAAATTATCGAAATTACAGATTACTACCCATATTAAGTTCAATACAATCTGTTTCGTCATCGTAGAGTGTAAATACTATGTGCTGTGGTCACATTAATTATTTGTATCGCCGAGGAGTAATTCAGTATTAAAATTTGTTATATTTCCAAACAATTACCACAATCACAATTTTTTATTTCAACGTAGTATATAATATAATCTATAACACGTGTAAAAATCAAAAGTTGAATCAGTTTATTTACTAATTTAAACCAATTATACCTATAAACGAAATTGTAACGTATCGATACACAACGTATTTAGTTGTAATTTTTAGTATATCAGTCATTGACTTACAATTATATGGACGTCGGGTCCGCGCTAAAAAGTGTCCGAACTTATAGGGCGTTAAAATCGTATATAGAGCGTCATTCACGCTTTAGTCTTCGTTTGTTCGACTGACAGCGAAGTAAGCAAAATTAGACAGTACTGCGATGACATTACAATTTAAATTCACCGTTTTAGTTTCATATTCCTTGACATGTCACTACGTTTAAATAGGTTGACTTGGGACATTTTTTTCGTGGTTTTTGTATTAGACCCGTCGTCCATTTATTTGTAAGTCAATGATATCAATAGTCGAAATTGCTGTTTTTGTCAATAGTTGAAGCATTTTTACTTCAATAAAGCTGGCTTCATTAAAATGTTTCGAAGAAATAGTGCTATATTTGGTTGGGAACCAATATTTATTTCCCGTCGCCTCAATCCATTTTTCTAATTTTAATTTTGGGTTACGTGGAAAACTGAAAAAAACGAAACTGAAGAGTTTTATAAAGAAAACGAATATTCGGTTGGAAAAAAGTAACAGCTGTATTACGAATTGACATAAAGCAATGGACAAAGTTGCTTGACCATAGATGACAACTCTATTATTATAATGGCTAGGGAGCCATACATAAATGGTTTCTGTGTTCATATTATACTAACACCCTCCCCAGAACACAGACCCATTTTCACCGTACAATTAACATGCTTAACAAATGTGGTGCCTTTGGTTAGTATGTCGGCAACCATCTCAGCACTCCTTACAAACAAACTTTACATAACCTCTTCCAACATAGTCCCTTATGAAGTGGTATCTTGTATCTATATGTTTAGTTCTAGGCTTATAACCATCACTCAGTGTTAGAGGTATAGCATTTTGATTGTCACAATAAAATGTTCACAGCACTATCTTGTATCTGACCCAACTCAGCCTGCAGCTGTCTGAATCAAAGAGCCTCTTGCGCTGCTGAACTCATTGCCATGTATTCAGCTTCTGTTGTAGACAGTGCAACAGTCTGTTGCCTGCGTGAGTTCCAGGAAATATTTCCGCACTGCAATACAAAAATATATACAGTACAAGATTTTGTATCTTGTGTATTGCCAGCCCAGTCAGCATCGCAGTAGCCTGTGACATCTGGAGAATCATCTTTGGTATAAGTTAATTTAATTCCTTGTAAGTACCTCATAACTCTTATTATCCCTTGCCAGTGCACAGGTTGAGGATTCCTGTTGTACCTGCTTAGCGTGTTCACGGCATAAGCAATGTCTGGCCTTGTTGCAGAAGCCAAGTATAGTATATATAAGCTTCTCTTCTTCTTCTTCTTATATATATAATCCTGCACTTAAAAAGCACTAATGAAATTTTTGGTGTACTTGGATAAATATGATAATATTCCGTTTGAGTGGTTCTAACGTTTACCATGAAATTACTCCTTAAAGAATAGTTATAGTATAGTGTAGTAAATTCACAGCACTGCCCGGTACAAAAGTACATTTCTTACCTGTACTTTATCTATTCCGTTCAAATAAATGTTTACATTACCCATACTTTCGACAAGCATCTGGGCTTTATTGGGAACAGTTATCTGTGAAATAGGTGGTTTCTTGACGTCATACAACCAATAATTTCTGTTTGTCATATGCATAGCTGCACCGGAGCCAATGTACCACTGGTCAGCAACATCTGAAAATGTTGAAAATGCTGCAATAAAACCAGTTTTATTTTCTGTTTGATTTATGCTACTTTTCTTCGGAGTCCTAGAATACTTGCTGATGTGACGATGTTTGCCGCATTTATAACAACGGGGACCTTATGAATGTTGGCCCTTGCTCTGGTAGGTACTGTTTATTTGGTTTGTCTTTCATTAGCTGATTCATTCTTCCTATTAGTGAAGAAGGCGGAGGTTCCCTCATTCTTGACATCTTGTATGAGTTTGGTCTTTATAGCGTCTGCAGTAATTTGCATTCTGGAGCTCTCTAAAGCCATAATCATAGGTTTGTGCGCATCTGGAAGTCCAGCGAGCATTAACATACCAACCCATTAATCGTCCACTATGAAGCCAATATCTCGCAACTTATGAGCAGTGCTCCATTATCTTGTTCACGTATGCTTCAATAGAACCACAGCTATCCAATGTAGTAGTCACTAAATCCTTCAATAAACCGACTTTTCAAGTCAAGCCCTTGTCGTCAAATGCTTTTTCCAACCTTCCCCAAACTTCCTTGGCGGTATTGGCGTCTTGAACATGCACATGGTTCACGGGATCCAAGAGAAGGATTATCTTCGTTCTGGCCTTCCTATCTTTGGCGGTACCCAGCTTGGTGGTGTCAACCGGTTCTATGCACTCCCATAAATCTTCGTGCTGTAGATATGTCTTTACACCAAAACTCCAACTAGCATAATTAGCTCGGCCTGCGAGTTTTTCAATTTGAAAAGAATGTGACGTCGACATTTTGTTCAAAAAATGTTACGTTCTCGACCTCGCCCGTCGAATTTCTCGTACTCGTACCGGTAATATATACCTTTTTGCACTATTTTTTCTGCTAAAACTTTCACAAATGATTAGTTTGTATTATTTATCAATAAGCAAAAAAGAAAAAAGCAGAGAGTAATTACGCTCTGCTACCATGAAAATTTTTCTAAAGAAAACGAATATTTAGTTGGAAAAAAGTAACGGCTGTATTACGAATTGACATAAAGCAATAGACAAAATTGCTTGACCATAGATGACAACTCTATTATTACAATGGCTAGTAAGCCATACATAAATGGTTCCTGTGTTCATATTATACTAACAGAAACGTTACTGAACGTTATAACGAAACGTTATAGAATATTTTTATAACGTTTGCTAATGTCATAATAATTATAGTCCCTTTTTTCCAAAATCTATCAGAATCGAGAACAGTGTTGCATAGCGTATACATCACTAAATGTTAAATTTGGCCAAAAAAAAAAATACAAGCGGCCGTACCACGAAACTAAATCCATTATACAAAATTAGCGCTCGTTCGATATTCATGACGTATTAACAAAGAATTACAAATATATCGCACCAAGTAAAAGTCGCAATGTATTACAAATCATGAGGCATACACTCGTTTGAATAGTTGTTTTCTTTAAATTCATACAAAATAAATAAATAATAAAATAATTGTTTTCAAAATAAATTATGCATATTCTGATTACAAAATCACTTATTGGTGTAACGAAACGTCCCTGTTTACTTGTTTACCCACAGTTATGGCGGTTTTGCACTTTATAATGGCACAATTAGGCATTTTACTCGTTTTCGACTGGTGTTTATCTACGATAACGATCAAGCGCGTTCTGAAGCGTAGAAGCGGCAACTAAGTGAACTATAAATCACATGAATTTTACCTGCTCTCTTACCTTTCAAAATCGAAACGCAGTAATGCTCACAATACTGCTTGGAGGCAGAAATAGGTAAGGTGGCAGTATATCCCTGGACGAACTCTCTGAATCTTATGTTAGTCGACTCTTTGCAAATAGATTTCTCTATACTTACTTATATTTAGTACTTTATTAAAAGTTTTATACAACTCTCCTTTTTCTGGATGCAAAGAATATTTATCATTTGTATCAGGACATGTTGCGTAGTAATATATGGTCTGAAAATGCAAATTTGTTTCAATCAATAGTAATTAACTCCCATTCTTATTAAGAGCGGAGCGGTATGCAAGCTTGCTCATAGCTCCGGTACCTATCTGGAAAATAGGGAGTGTACTGTACGTGCTTCCGGGCGGGTCACCTAAGGCTTTAGCCTTTTTAGAACTGGATGAAGTCCGTGCAAACGGGTTGATTAGGGGTCAGGACCTGACTGAGTAGGTCCCTGTGCGGGCTTGCTAGCACATGTTATAGTGTCCCTCCCGTATAACCAAGAGGTTGATAGGGGTGGTCACTATAAACAAAACTTATGTAGAAAAGATATGGGAGCTGTCCCAAGAAATAGCTTTTTTTTATATACATACATTCGCACATAACGCACACACTCAACATAGCCCCGCACTAGGGAAACCCTGTGTCGCGGGTGCCATGGACACACACATAGACAACCACAAATTACACCCAAACTCACGAGAGAAATAAGTGTAGGTCATACAAATATTTCGCCCGGCCCGGGAATCGAACCTGGGACCTCTGCGTGGCAGTCCGGCATGGTAACCGTTCGGCCACTGAGGCAGTTTAAGTTATATAATTATTACAATAATAATATAGTAATAAATGAAGCGAGTGCCTTGGATATAATAAACAACAACAAATTATGAGAGTAATAAATGTAGGCCATACACATTATTTCTCCTAACCTGGTAATCGAACCCTAGACGTGACCCGTGAACCCTAGACGTGGCCTAAACTAAGAAAGTCCTGTGTGTCCCTTAGGACACCTGGTCTCTACTTCTTGCTTGAACAAATTCTATACCTGAGCCTATATTATTTTACAAATATGGGGATTCAGCTAAAAGTGTGCCTTGTTCGCGTGTTGCGTGTAAGTGTTTCTCTCGCTCTGTTTGTGTGTGTGTGTGTGTGTGTGTGTGTGTGTGTGTGCGCGTGCGCGCGCGCGCGGGTGTGTGTGTGTGTGTGTGTGTGCGTGCGTGTGTGTGCGGGTGTGAATGAGTGAGTGTGAGCGTGATTGAGTAAATTGACACAAAGTTTATCATGATATGGTTACAAAAATATAATAGTAGCCTTGTTGTCGATCATTGATTTCAGTTAATAATTCTTTCATTGGCATATTACTTACCTAACAATGCATTCAAAACTTACCTCAGGAGAAACATTTCCAAATCTATTGGGGAATTTCATTCTAATATTTCCTAAACTACGTCCAACATCATCAGCAATATCGGCGATTATCATAGCCATTATCGCCTTGTATGTTGTTATCAATGCAACCAAAATCATTGTCAGTAACATTGGTATCTGAAACAATATTCGCACCCTTGGTGTTAATAAGGTCACATCTGCAAAATGACAACTTTTCAGAAGAGACGTTTAAAGATTCTATGAATTAAATTAGTCGAAACTTTTTTATGATTAAATAGGAGAGTTATAAAATGAGGTGTTGATTTTTTGCCCAAATTGTGTACCGAGGTATGTACATTTTATACCAAAATAATTCAAAAAATTATTAGGTAAGGATTCATTAATTTTCCCGAAATCTTTTTATTTACAATAGAAATTTCTGAAAAATGAAATTCTGCAATTTATACAAAACAAATGATACAGCGTTCGACGAACGCGCATTGTCGGGATTTGACAGCTGTCACTGTAGCTAATAATTTAGTTGTATAATACGACAGAAACCAACTGCAGTACTGACACGCTATGATCGCAGTTTTGACAAATTGCAATACTGAGATTAATTTATTATCGAAAAAATATAATCAAATGCGAGTCGCATCTATTAGTTTTTAGATTTATAACTGGTATTGCAAGGGGTAGCTGATTAAAAAGCTTTAACGAAACGAAAAAAAAAATGTTTACTTAATATATCGTCAATTCGAAACTGCTTTGCATTAAACTTTGATGCTAGTTTATCGTATGTAGAAGTTGTGCTGGCCAGCAATCTTATAAGTGACGGTCGTATTAGATTTCATTTTTAATCATTTCAAAAACAAATGCCGAGTTGTGTCGTAGAATTATACATCCATAAATTTTACTACACGTCACTATTGACAACAATAAACAACTCCTTCAACGTAGTTATGAGTTAATACGAAACTTAATGAGCGGACAAACCTCAAAACGGCCATCATGGCATGCCGGTACTATAGTTAGCAGTCGAGAGAATGTCCGTAAAGAATATCCAAAATCAGAGATGAATAATTATCATAAACAAAAATAGTAATACTCCATAGACGCGAATCAAATGAAACAAATCCTGTACTCTCGTTTGCAGTCCGACACCCGTCCGAAACAATTAATGTCTTATAAATAATACTCGAATAAATTAAAAGAAGCATGGTTTTCGGACGAATGGCGGATGGAGACCCCCAGCATGTAACCAGAAATAGAGAAGAAATAAGGGCCACACATTCCTAGTAAGTCATCAGTGATATATCACTTTTAAGGGAAAAAGAAACCCCTTGTGCCAGTCTCTGAAGTTGTAAAACCACAGAGGCAGATGGACCGGTGCGACGAGGATGGCTTCACAAAAGTGGAGAAGAAGAAGAAGAGGAGGAAGCCCACCAGCCGTAACCAACGTGGCACAGCATCGACAGGACCGAACTTCCTGCTGCGTCCGGCCACACCGACGATGCTGCTGTACCTGTCGCGGCTGCATTACTCCACGAAGTCTGAGGAGATAGTATATCAAACATAAAGCCAAATACACCCTGAGGGTCGAGCGGTTGGAGTCCCGCCACAACGTAAATTTCAATTCGTTTGTGGTGAGAGTGCCGATCGAACATCTGTCTGTCTTCATGAAGGAAGAATTTTGGCCGAAGGGTGTCTTATCGGCGGTTCCGCGGCCGGCCGGTTACCGGTGAAATAAATAAATAAATAAATAACAACTCTCGTTTGCAATGAAATATAGACAGCGCCAACAACTGACCTGTGTGTATGTCTCCGTATATTCCAAAAATCAACGGAAAAACAAACGGAATCCAATGTCAACGGTAATTAAATATGTAATTTTACAATTTTCGTCCATTATAGCAAAGCTCAAGTTAACTGGATGTTTGAAGTGTAACCAATTGATGACACCCATTGACGACACCCCTCAATTGTTTCGAATTCGGGCTGGTCGATCCAATGCTATTGCGTCTCTATTTCTGGTTATATATACGATGACCCCCAGAAACGGAAAAATCTTTATGTTGTTGACATGCCGATCGTGTCATGAAGTGAAATTTAAATAAGGTTTAACAGCTTGGGACATAGTCTTGTAGCCAACCTTATTATATATTTTAATTATATATAATGCACAGTAGATATTTTTTAGACCTGCAAAAGACTATTAGATCTATTTTTTAAATAATACCAATAGCTGGATTCTTTTATAATGTCAAGTGACGGGACGAACAAGTGGTGCGCCTGATAGTAAGCTACACGGCTGTCCAAAACAGTTACAGTACACTCAGAGCTTTAAATCGCAAAGATCTGAAGGGTACTGCCCCTGCGTCTGTCACGTCGAGACATAAGTTGATAAGTCCCATGTGCTTGTAATTTCACCAGCACCTTTACCCTTCAAAACCGGAACGCAGTAATGCTGACGTTACTGTTTGACAGCAGAAATAGGTAAGGTGGCAGTACTACCCGGGACGAACTCTTTTACAAGGAGCTTTACTGGTACTAAAATGATCACATGTGACTTTTTTATATACCATGGTACGGGTACAAATATAATTAACGCTACAAACTTTGTAGTGTTTCTTTCATACAAATAAGGCACACAAGTAAATATAATACGATTTCTCACCTCTGCTTCCGCAGTTTGTTAGGGAGGTTTTGATAGTAGATCTCTATTGTTTTCATTGACTTACAAATAAATGGACGACGAGTCTAATACAAAAACCACGAAAAAAATTTCCCAAGTCAACCTATTTAAACGTAGTGACATGTAAAGGAATATGAAAAAGCTAAAACGTTGAATTTAAATTGTAATGTCATCGCAGGACTGTCTAATTTTGCTTGCTTCGCTGTCAGTCGAACAAACGAAGACTAAAGCGTGAATGACGCTCTGTATACGATTTTAACGCTCTATAAGTTCGGACACTTTTTAGCGCGGACCCGACGTCCATATAATTGTAAGTCAATGATTGTTTTATTCGTTATTTGGTGATTTCGCTGATCTACGAAACCACACCCATTCAGAGAACTCTATATTTATAGGCCATTTTTCACTTTGACATAGTTTGTCATATTTACTTTCTGGGACTCAAATGAAGCTTAATCCCGTTCTGTTTTAGTTGATTTTAACTACTTTTATTGGTACATCCTGATCACTTAATATTATATTCTTAATGAATGAAAAATATGGTTCTAACTTTTCTACTGCTGTTTCCATTTTTAATCGCCTGATATGTAGATATTTCTTCTTGTAGCAGTGGAGCTCCTTGTGAAAGAGTTCGTCTAGAGAAGTACTGCCACCTTACTGTGAGCAATACTGCGTTCCGATTACGAAGGGTAACCGGAACGAGTAATGTTCACATTACCGCTTGAAGGCAGACATTGGTAAGGTGGCAGTACTTCCCTGGACGAACTCTTTCACAAAGGGCTCTACCGCTACAAAACTAAATGTTCAGGCCTAGTCCAACAAAGCTGCGTTAGACGAAAATTTTAAGCAGCTTGGAGACGTTTATCTTAAAAATGAACATGAAGGTTTTTATTATAAAGATGTACATTTAACTACTTACACGAACAACGTTAAGCAATCGTATACGAAACCGTGTGTATTCATCCATGATACGTATCAGCATAATTGACAACACAGCGGGTAAAGCCCAGGCGAGCACTTCTTTGTGCGTCACATCAACCATGCTCTTTAAAAAATCCTGTAATATTATTATCAAAACGCTAATTATAAAAACATCGAACAAAGTAAAGAAAACTAAATATAAAATTTACAAAACAAAAAAAATTTAAACACGTAGTGAAAACAGATGCAATCAACTTTCACAGCTATTCTACGTGGCCTCTGTGCCACGTTCCATTTACCTGCGCGAAAGTTAGGTTTTTTTTATTATCTAAGTGTCAGGACGAACAAGTCGTGCACTTGGCGGTAAGCGACACGCCTGTCCTTAATAGTTGAGGTGAGGCTGCTGTATGGTGGCAAGGCCTAAAAGATATGAAGTTACTTCCTGGAACGAGTTCGAACACCGCCTGCGCTGCAACTTTGCGCCAAAGAAACCCGAGTATCTTATTTATCAGGATTCAGGATTATTTTTCACATCATAAGTGAAAACAAGAAGAGAGTACACACTGCACGCTTCATAGCCAAGAAGAGGATGTTGTTTTCTCAACTACCAACAAACGAGAAGCTAGAAGAGATACAACAGATGGACTTAATATATTGCTGCACCTTAGCATTCGCGACAAGGTTCCACGCAACACTGTCAATATTTTTGGCGAACTTCTTGATGGGGCCCGTGCCGTTGAACAAATATTACAAGTAAAACCCACCGTACCAGCGACACCTCGTTCGGCAAGACCAAATTACAATAAAGGAAGGAAGATGCAAGTTCTGCAGGAACTATGGCCATTCTTACGATCAATATCGCAAGCAAAACAGTGAGGCGAAGGCACCTCCTCCACCTCAAGTTATCAAACAAAAAGCAACCCCACTGCTTTCAAAAGTATCTTGCTACGGTTGTGGAGCACCCGGCATTTACTGTAGCAATTGCCCGACGTGTTCAAACAAGCCAACAGCGTCTACCTTGGGTGGACATACCTTCCAGAATAATCTCATCGTGTTACCGGAGTCACCAGACATCCGTATCCTGCTGGGAATCGGATTTTTAAAGAAGGCTGGCATTGTACTGAATCTCACCCAATTCACAAGGAGCTTCATCCATGATCCTACCGAAATACATGAGATGTTTAAGGAGGGCTTCGTGCATTTCAATAAGGAGAAGAGCCTCCACCCAAATCCTCCAAAAATAAATAACTTAGCCCTCTCTACCGCCACATGCATCGGCTCCTGCTAATAAATTAATACGCACTGAGGACAATGATGCTGCTACCTCTGCCACATCTGTATCTGCATGTGAATCCATCAATACCCTACAAGCTGATTCCGTTGGACTTGCCTGGATCACCGATTCAAGTCAAACGAAGCAGATCAACAATCTTCAACGGTTACTCTCCGCGCTGTGAGTATATGATGAGAAATGCTGTGTGGAGCGTCAACACTCAAGAAGTAAACTTATCTCCGACGTCTAAAGCTTTATTCCCCGAAACTGACATTAGGCTTAATTCTGGAGATGGTAGCACAATAAATTCAAAGCAATCTAGAGGAGCAAGACAGATTGTTAAAAGAGTATAATGATGTTTTGTTCCCAATGGTAAACCTATTTCCGAGATAGAACATTGTATACATATGTATAGTGGATCATCCACCCATCGATGACACCTTATAGATTATCTCGGCCTTGTAAAGAAATTCTTAAAGGTGAATTTGAAAACTTGTTGAAAGACAAAATCATTGAGCTCTGTAACTCTCCTTGGGCTGCACCTGTTGTAATGGTCCCTAAACCAAACGGATCACTCCGACTATGCGTAGACTATAGAAGACTAAACGCCATAACGGTACCTGACACATATCCGATTCCAAGGATCGACGATGCTCCATGAAGCGACATTGGACCGGAAAGCAGGATATTGGCAAATACCAATGAGGAAAGAAGATCAAGATAAAACTGCATTTATTACTCTTTTCGGTATATTCAAGTTTACAAGGATGCCTTTTGATTTGAAAAATGCACCTGTAACGTTTCAAAGGCTGATAGATAGATTTCGCGTCAGTCTCAATAATGTAAAATTATTAGCTTACCTTGATGATCTCATCGTGTTTTCTGGAAGTTTTCAATCTCAACTCTCTGAGATGTACTCTCAAAACTTCGACAATATAATTTGACGGCCAATGGAGAGAAATGTAGATTCTGCTGCTCTTTACTGCAATATTTGGGACATCTCATTACTCCGAACGGACTACAAGCAGACACAGAAAAGACAGCTGCCATTGTTAACCTACCAACGCCAACTACTTTGAAACATTTGGACACGTTCCTACAAACTTGTTCCTGGTACCGCCGCTTTATCGAGAATTTTTCGAAGATTGCCGAGCCTCTAACACATCTTAATAAGAAGAACGAGAAATGGTCATGGAGCAATAAACAAGACGCAGCATATTGTGAACTGAAAAGACATGCTACAATTCTGAGACAAGCCGACGAATCGAAGCCCTACGTCCTCAAGACCGATGCGAGCAATTACGCTTTTGGAGCGGTCTTGGTCCAGAGGGGGGAGAAGTCAACCCTGTGGAGTATGCTAGTAGACTTCTCACCCCCACCAGAACGCAACTACACCACAACTGAGAAAGAGGCATTAGCTGTGGTATGAAATGGCTGATGTCATTGAGGTCTCCAACTGGAAGACTTGCTCTATAATAAATGCGAACAACCGATAATCAATAAAAATATGGTTTTTTGCCCCTCCCTCTTTTTCACTGGAGGCACTGATTTATTCCATAGGTAACTTCCCTGAGAAGAACGACCGAGAAACTCTAGGGATTGCACTTTTAAAATAAACTTAAATGCTATGGAAACCAGCCCTTAAATTATTTGTGACGTTCCCTTTAAACTTATACATATAATGAGGCGTGGAAGATGTCAACCTCGCTGTAATAACGTTATTGAAAGTTCTCATGCTACGATAAAGTGGAGAAAAATGGTCCACATTAGTACGAGATACAGGAACTAAAAATATATTTTATATATTTTTAGGTAACGTGGAAGCCTTCTTAACTTGAGACATTAATCAGAGCATATCGAGCTGGTTACGTAAAACCTTATAGAGGAACGTTAAGTCGAAATCTTATCCCCGAGTCTTTAACGTTTCTAACTTGAAATGTAACAGACGCTTGGCGTAGTCTGCACTATATGGGCATTTCTTGATAGTACTTTGTCATACTCTCCGTAGCTCACTTTTCTTGTTACCGATCCCAACGAGCAAACTCGTTTAGAAGTGATGTAAATATCGAAAATGCGTGTAAAAATAACTTTTTCCATTCCTCTCACATTAGCGTAATCTTTTCATTTGTATCTCATTGTATTTTTGTCCCATCCATGAACTTCTACGAGTTCTTCAATTTTCTTTAACCAACATTTCATGGTGGATTCCTCGCTCCCAGGAACAAATTATAATATCAAGTTCGCGGTTCGGTCAATTTTACGCTTGTCTGTGCTACTTGTATCTGTGTGCATGTTTTGCAGGGCCTTATAGACCTCGTGACTTAGTAAAATTATGATCAGTTTTCATGTGTGTGGCTTCGTTTCTGAATTCAACGACTAACCTTTTTCCAGTAGAAAGGAACTATGGTAGATTACTCCTTAGCTGGATCATAAAACAGTTACAGTTTGGACTTACCGTCTGAATTATGTTGATTATTTCATCATAAAATATTCAATTTTTACCACAAGTAATGAATGATACGGTCTAAAACTTCTTCGTATCTGTGATGATTCATTGGGACTATGTAAGTTTCAATGCGCGTTATCATTTGTGTTTTCTTGATTTTTGATTCAATGAATTAGTGCAAAACTACTAACTCCTCCGTTATTTCTCTTGGATGGGCTTTAATAAATAAATCCCTAAAATCTCAATTGTCACCTTAAGCCGTGATCATCCATAAGGTTCACTTGCCAAGTCGTAACCTTGCATTATAGGGCAAATTAAAATCCATGAAGGCGTTCGTTGGTTACATCCACGTCATATACGCTGTTAATAAATTACACGGTATAATAAAAATACACGAGCTTTATAGTATCCATGTTTGATTTCAATACCGCAACCGCAATACCGCAGTCCTTGAAGACAAAAGTCTCCGAGCAGTTCGTGCTGCCAGCGATGACCTATGCCTCTGAGACGTGGTCACTTACTATGGGCCTCATAAAAAAGATCAAAGTCACTCGACGAGTCATGGAGCGAACAATTCTCGGCATTTCACTACGTGATCGAATGAGAAATGAGGAAATCCGTAGAAGAACGAAAGTCACCGTCATAGCCCAAAAGATTAGCAAGTTGAAGTGGCAGTGGGCAGGGCACATAGCTCGTAGGACGTCAGTTCTAACGAGCGCCCGTTGGAGCAGAAAGGTTCTCAAATAGAGACCACGAACCGGAAGGCGTTCAGTTCAAGGGCGGCGGGTAACCGATGGATGCACGTTGCGTCCGATCGGCTAATCTAGCAGCCTTTGGGGGAGGCCTATGTTCAGCAGTGGACGTCTTCCGGCTGATATGATGGTGATGTATGATTTCAAACCGATTGCAAAACTAATCAAAATGAAAATAAATACTTGATTATTAAATTTAGTTTGAAAATTTAATTTCAATGGCCAGGCCGAATTCCATAACAAACTATTATGCTAATTATAATAAAATAGGTAGTATTTACATACCCGTGTAAACTTCTGGGTTTCTACTAGGAATGTCTGCAGATTTGTGTTGTTATTCAAATTAATTTGATAATCTGCAAGCTGTATTATAGCATCTTTCAATGTTATTAGATCGTCTTGTTTCTGCTGTATAATTTTCATTAAATTTGGGTCTCCTGATTGATTTGTTCCGTTTGAATAATATTGCGGTGTTGTTGAATTTGTTGCTAATAGTGAAATTATTACTTCGGATAAAACAAATGCCCTGTTTTTTAATTTATTAATCAATTCTGTGGCCTGAAAACAAAGTAGGTTATTGTAAAAAAAAACATTTTTTTTTAATATGAAATACAAACCGGTATCCACAAAGTTAGATAAAAAAATATCTTTCTGCTCTATAAATATACAAAATTCTAAGTTTGCACTCGATAAACTAAATAGCTAGTTACTAGTAATATATTTCGCTGTCTGCCATTTTATTGGAATCAGTGTTCACGTTTGGCGCGGCCGGTCATCTAATGACAAAACCCTATAATAAATCAACCGATGACGTTGTAAAGTGGATCGTTACTACATCTTAGGAGTGCTGGTATCTCTGGATGGATTGCATTCACAGTACAAAAATAGAGACGGGCAGATAATGCGCTGCTGCGTAGGTTGACTAGGTACAGGATGCATAAGCAGCTTAAGTTTTATCAGCATAGCGACGCGCGTTACCAACACATAGGTTCTTTTTGCATGCAGACAACGGTTATCTGTACAGGCTACCTCAAATTACTTGTTTTTACCAACCATTGGCATTTTAGGGCTAGATCGTATTTTTAATATAAACAAAAGGTTTTCACACGAAAATGAGTCCATATAACAAGGGACTACATCTATGCTTGTAAATTATACTGTTTTGGGTTTGGGAAGGCTTGAACTTTGCTGGTAGTACAAGATAAAGCGCGAAGCTTTACATGCGAAGCTAAATCGGCATAAAGCGCTGAGTCTCCTACTCAAAACAAAGTATCACTGTGCGAAGTAGGGAATTTCCAATGCAATGGAAGCTATCATTGTATGAAGCGGTTCTAAAATAAAACGCGGCTGTACGAAGCGTGGAGTTTCCAATACTGACTTGTATCAATGTTCCATGAAAACTGCTTTATATAACCTTCAAGGTTAATAAGGCTCTTAAAATACGCTTGGCAACTTATAAGTTACAACAAAAAACAAAGGTAAACAAAACAATATTGGTTCTGAAGAATTTCCGAATTAAAAGCAAAAGAAAGGCGTACAATAAATAATAGTGCTTAGTGTCAATAATAAACCAACTTTATAGATTTTAAGACTTTCGTGGTTATTCATTAAATGATTATCACTAATTTCAGGTTTCTTACCACGGTATGACTTCTTTTTATTTTCCCGATATTTCGGAACGGTTGCACGCTCCATGGTCACGGGTTGACTGGACGGCGGCAGATGACAGCTTTAAGAGCAGACATATCTGTCTACCCTCTTGCGCTGTCGACGACTACAATCATCGCGATTTGTTGTCGCCTTATAACTCGAAAGAAACTCGAATGGCTATAAACCTGTCTAACAAGGTACTGACTGAACCAGCAATCAACGTCCTGGAAAAAGGATTAAATTTCGCTCTTCCACCTTCATTATAGCTGAATGTAGGAGCGCTATCCCAGTAGATATTGAAAAACAACTATTACGTCCACGTATCGTCCTACCGCCGAGGCTTTATGGTTTGCCAAAGGTCCACAAAACTAACGTACCATTACGATCAATAGTGAGTCCGATAGACTCACCTACGTTTGAACTGGCAAAATATGTGTCTCGTACACTAACATTTCTAATAGGCACAACAAACTCCTTTGTGAAGGACTCCAGGCATTTCATTGAGATCTTTAACAGTACCACAGTTAACGAGAATGAGACAATGGTTAGTTATGACATTGAGTCTCTTTTCACAAGCGTACCAATAAAGGAGTGCATCGACGTTATCAAAGTGAAACTTCAAGAAAATAACATCCCAATGGAGATTGCTCAATTACTTGAACATTGCTTAAACACGAGCTACTTCCTGTACATGGCCAATACTACCTTCAGATTGATGGTGTAGCGATGGACAGTCCCGTTGCTCCCATTGTTGCCAAAATTTGGATGGAATACTATGAACACGCCGCCATTCTGTCAGCATCATCAACAATAAAATTATGGAAGAGGTATGGTGATGACGTATTTTGCGTAATGGAAGGAAAGGAGCAACATATACAAAATTATTTAGCACTTCTTAACAACACCCACAAATAACAAAATGAATTAACTTGTGAAATTGAGACAAATCGCGCGCTTGCATGTTTGGATGTATTGGTCAAAGTCCAACAAGACGGTTCACTCGGTCATTCTGTGTACAGAAAACCAACTTACACGGACAAATATTTACATGCCACTCACTTCACATCATCACCCAAAACACATTCGGTCGTCAGGTCATTAACCAATAGAGCTTGATGATCTTTGTGATGCACACCACCTACCACAGGAACAGGAGCACGTTAAGACGGTTTTGCGACAGAATGGATACAAAATTAAAACATGTAAACCAATACAAAAAAGGAAGAAGCAAATTGACGTACGTACAGATAATACCAGTTTTTCTGTCCTATGTAGGTGACAGATAAAATAGCCAGGTTGCTAAGGAAGTTTTCCGTAAAAACTGTTTTCACCCCCTTAACCAAAATAGGAAAAATGTTACGTTCACCAAAAGACCACCTTCCTTTACAAACACCGGGTGTCTATAAAGTGAACTACAGTTGTGGGAACTCGTATATCGATCAGACTAAACGAACAATTGTCGATCGTATGAAGGAACACATCCGAGCAGTAAAAAACAATGGTGCACAGAAGTTGGCTATAGCACAACATCTCACACAGACTGACACTAACCACTTGATCGAGTTGCATAGTCCCCAGGTACTCTCGACAGAACGTCACTACATACTACGGTTGGTACGAGAAGCCATCGAGATCACGAAGTGCAAAACATTTCACCGTGATGATGGTTTTATCTGTCCAGTGCATGGAATCCGGTCCTTAGTGCGTGCAGTAATAAAAACAAAAACACCTCGAGTTCAGTTTCGCGTGTGGACACAGTGAGTGTGGTTTGTGTGAAAAAAGTGAGTGACAATGGTAACGCTACAACAAATCGCGATGAAGGTAGTCGTCGACACCGCAAGAGGGTAGACAGATAAGTCTGCTCTTAAAGCTGTCATCTGCCGCCGTCCAGTTAACCCGTGACCATGGAGCGTGCAACCGTTCCGAAATATCGGGAAAATAAAAAGAAGACATACCGTGGTAGGAAACCTGAAATTAGTGATAATCATTTAAACGAAACTTTGACATAATGTCATCAAAGTAAGTAAGCAAAAAACATTAATTTAACACAATTATTCCGTTAATTCCATTGACCTACTTTAATTCAACATTAACAGTATCGTCCATTTGATTTAACAAATCTGGTGAGCCCGATGGCTCTTCATGAAACACGTATTCAATACGATCTCTAAATACTGATTTCACTTTACATTTTTCATTATCTCAAGTCTTACTTGCAGTTGCTCAGGGATTAGAACATTCGTGGCTAGTGCAGTGAGGGTTCCATCGCTGCACTAGGTTCCTTCGCGTTTGGATACCACTTTCCACTTAACATCAGGTGGAGTGGAGTCATTTGCCTGTCATGTATTAAAAAAAAAAAAAAAAAAAAATTCATTCTCATTTTTTTTTTCATTAAAATAATATTATTTTCAAAGTCAATTGACGAAACGGGCCTTATCGCCCATTTCCACCTTCGCTTCATGTTCATTTTTCAAATTATTTCTCATAATAGCGAAAGCATTAATCAACTTTTATGCCTATTATATGTGGGCTCTCATGATTATGGAGTGTCAGAGTTTACTTGCAGCCTGCAGCCAATCGGCACTAACGTGCACATTTTCCCATCTAAAATTCTTGTGGAAGATCTTTTTGCCCTTACGATATTTCATCACAACGTCAAAGCTTTATGGACTTCAGATGGTTTTTTTTTTTTTGTTTTAACCAAAGCAAACCAAAATTACATCCTCATTTGCACCACATAAACACTAGTTGTAGTAGTAAGCAGCAGTAGAGCTCTTTGTGGAAGAGTGGTTCGAGGAAAATACTGCCACCTTACTTATTTCCGCCGCCATGCAATAATGTGAGCATTGTTGCGTTCCGGGTTTGAAGGGTTAGCGCCCAGTTACACGAAGAGGTAGTTCTCTCACGGCCGCCGCACGGCGACCGCTTAGGTACCACGCCTTCGTGTTTATTAATGGCGAATCTGAATTCTATTTACTAGGCAACGACATTTAAATTCATCTGAATAATACAACCGCGCGGTCTTAAGAGCTGCGAACTTAAGACGCACGCGCGGTCGATGCGCGGCGACAACGCGGACTCCGCGCGGCCTCCGGGGAGAGCGCGATAAAATTCGTGTCGAGTAAATACGCGCATGGGACTTGTCAATTTAGTCAGAGTGACACTTCAACTGATTTGGACAGGCGTGTCGCTTAACACCAGGCGCACGAATTGTTCTTCCCATCACAAATCTATCTATACATTACAAATATACATTGAGTGATCATTACATGAATAGTAGTAAGAAAATGAAAAGGAAGATAATAATACCTCACGATTTACAATGTTACCGTAGTTTGCTAAAAAAGTTGTAACTGATGTACCGTATGAGTATATATACGTCGACATAATTAGATTTGTAATCAGTTCCAAAAATGCGCAAACGACACATAGACCCGCAAATATGTTCATAATAAGCTGGAAACATAAATATTAATTCATCAAAAAAAATTGCAAAATTTGGGCATAATATAACAAAAATATAATTCTAATATTTGTAATTCAGCTCTGCTGGTCCCCGAATTTTTCGGAGATGTTAATGAACTAAACAGTTGATTTATCTTTCTTTTTCTGTTCATGTTTTTGTTTACAATAATGGCCGAAACTTTAACTCCCAAGTTCAAGAATACAAAAGTGATATTTTATTATCTATTAGCAAAAAAGAAACAAAACTTAAACGTTATGCTAAATAATACCTTACGTATTGCTACGTTGGGAAGTTTACGGACGCGCAGTCTTTTATTGCGTGAACGGAATCCACAGAAGTACCAATTACATAAATTAATACCAACGAGACAAAAGCAAAAAATCATGCCCAAAAGCAGTAGTGCCTGCAAATCAATAATTAAATTAAATAAATACTGAATGGTGTCAATTGTCTGACTCCCTTTAATACACTTAACCTATTACTGCCTCCGTGCCACTCAGAGGTATTGGATTCGGTCGCCGGACCGGGAGAAATATTTGCATGACCTACATTTATTTCTCTCGTGTGATTGGGTGTAATTTGGAGTTGCACATTGTGTGTGAAGATGTAACCCGCGCTACAGGGTTTCTCTAGTGTGGGGCTATGAGTGCGTGCGTTGAAAAAGAATTTTAAGAGTCCATACTACCTTAGCTCGCATCCAAATATTTCCCGTACTAATACGGTTTTAATTTTTAATAAATTTTTCGTTTTGTGTGTATCGCAATAGATTTTATGTTGCAAGCAACGAAAGTTAATCTTATGTCGCTGCAATATAGTCGACTTTTATTTTGGTGAGCTAAATAAATATCTCAATTTTTCCCTGCTGCTGGTAGGCATGATCGTTCGTCGTCTTTCAACTATAGACCGCTAGATGGCAGCAGAGTGAATTAAACCTCAATTTAAAACCAAAACGTCGCCGTCGTAACATTTTATATTATTTTTATTTCACTTTTACAATATGATCAATGAGATGCCAATTAAAAGCTTCCAAATATATAATAATAATAATAACGTTTATTATGTCTTCCACAAAATACAAATTATAGCTAGGAACAGTTTACACGTTAGATTTTGGTAAGGGTAATTTTGTGGGAGACTGATGCCTAAACTTAGCAAAAAAATGCCTGTGCGTCAGGTCACCAGGTTCCCACCTCTCAGAAATACAAGTTCAAAAAATTTACACAAGATATTTTTAACACTACCAGCACCAACGAGAAATATTGAAATGTCGGTTCACAATCCACAGATACAAATATAGAGTAACGAGATAAATCTTGCAAATTAGAGTCTCAAAAAGAACAAAAGCATTGTACCATTTACAGTCCTGTGAAATTTAATTTCTAGGGTCTATCGTCATTATACCACTGTAAACATTTTAAATAATAATAATAATATTTTAAGTGTTGTATTCAACAAGTCAGCATTGCCAAAACCGCGAATTGGATTGAACAACATGCATAATAAATATATTATATATGAGACAACGCTCAAAAGGTCTCCTGTTTCGTTATAAGACAAAGTTAGGAGCCATCTTTTAAGAGCGCTTTTACATTTGTTAGTGTTTAGTTTATATATTCCAATTATCTTTATATGATTTAGTTGTAATAGAGATTGAACGTTCAACGATATGCAACAGGGTAAAATTAAAATATTATTAATTAAATTTTTATTGAATTGATATTCATTTTTTTTTGTGAAATTACTCCACTAGTTTGTTATAATTATTAATACAAAGATCGAACACACAGAAAAAATTCCTTCGATCCGGTCGGATTCGAACCGACGTCTTCTTGCATACCGTGCCAGACGCTATACCAACTAAGCCACGGAACGAACCAACGGACCTCACGAATTTCTCTATGTGCTTGCGTCGTGTCTTTGTATTTGGTTTTTCAACGACTTTTTAGTCGTAGCGTCATCTATGAGAAATCTATGAAAGATTTATCACCCAGTTAGTACCTTTACAGCTACCAGTCTAGTCCAGTTAAAATTATATTATTTGTTCAGAAATTGTTACACATTTTTAAATTAGAAACTACGACCTTTACCGACCGTTATCAAGACTTCATTGTCTTTAACAATGAGTTTTGGCGACAACGGTTCTGACAGTAATCGAGGCATAAGACCTTTCCATTATTTTTCTTCCGTGGTCATGATGCACAAATCACGTTAGTGTCGAATAATATCTATGGGAGAACGAGTCTTGTACCCCATTTCTCTTATGGCAGCACTTGACATGGCTACTTGTATTCGCTATTGGGTGGTTGATGTACTTGGAAAAATATTTGACGTACAGGTAAATATGCGATAACTGACAAATACAACGAGGAGTTAAATAATTTCGTAGCAGTAGTAGCTCCTAGTGAAAGAGTTTGTCCAGAGAAGTACTGCTATCTTACCCATTTCTGCCGCCAAGCAGTAATGTGAGCATTACTGCGTTCCGGTTTTAAAGGGTAAGAGATGTTAACGATTTAAAGCTCTGAGTGGCACTGCCACTGTTTAGACAGGCGTGTCGCTTAACACCATGCACACGACTTGTTCGTTTCGTCGCTTGGTATTATAAAAAACAATAATAATGAATATGACGTTTTGTATGTATGTATTACGCAAATGCAAATACTCGAAAATGCCGCGATGACAATCATGTCTCAGTACTGCCATGTATTTATATTAATATAGGCTATAATTGTTAACGTGGCTAAGTCTTCATGGATGAAAAATGTAAACAAAACATATATTTTTAACCGACTTCAAAAAAGAAGGAGGTGCTCAATTCGACTGTATTTTTTTTTTGTATGTTTGTTACGCGTTTACTTCGGCATTTGTGAACCGATTTTTATGATTCTTTTTTGATTGGCAAGATGATATCGCAGTATTGGTATCATTTAAATTTGAAGAAAATATTCCACCTCTAAGGGTGGTAAACTAGGGGATGAATCCGGTTTCACGCACTTTCCGGGAACCGATTTCAATAACACTTGGCAAATAGATGTAATACACGAACTTTTCGAGGTTTTTTTTTTAAACAAAGTTGTAATTAATACGCATAATGCCTTGCCCAATACATTGGCACCTAATAATTGTATTTAAGAAAATATAAATAGGTGAAAAATCAAACATTTAAGCAGGATTTCTTTTTATATTAAACTTATAACACTTACTGGTATGTAATTATTATTGAGACTTCGCAGGTCAACTTCATTTGTACCTCGCATCATAGTTACAAAATTAAAACGATATGTATCATGGAGTGCTTGTCGCAGTTCTGCGATAGCTGGAAAACAAACCCAATAAGAAATATATGAGATACACGAAGGCCGGGATAGTGACGTGAAGAAAAAATAAATGTGCCTCATGGTATCCGAATCACCCCCCCATGGATGTTCCGCGATTTTTCGTAGTTTTCGACTCATGATTTTTTACTGAATTTTTGTAATTTTTACCCGAATCGGCTCAAAATTATTTTGTTTTCAATTTGTACAACATTTGTTCAAGAGTTGTTTTTTGAACTCAATCTTTATGAATTGTACTTTAATGCTCAAAATTATCGGCTTCGTAACATCAATGGAGCTAAGAAAATTTTGACATAAAGTGGAAAATTCGCGTTCGAGCAGTCAGCAGTCGAGAGAATCACTTCAGTCGTTCTCACCTTGTGTTTAGTGAAGACTAATTATTAGGAAGTTATGCAGAATGTGTCAAAACTAAAAAACTGTCATGCGGAGAATCCAAACAACGAAGATCCAAATAACAAGAAAATACCTCACTATTTTGGGCACATGGTAAGAAAAGCACCCAATAAATTTAGAAAAGAATATTCTTCTCCGTAGAGTTGAGGACCGCTATGTATTGGACCAGCGCAATGGAGAAACTATATCATTAAGACTTCATAGGATATACCTGATAAATTCGATATTTGCACTTCATCGTCGGCAAATATATACACATTTGTTGGCGTCACATCCGTCGTTTCATCTGTCGTTTCATCTGTCGTTTCATCTGTCGTTTCATCTGTAGTCGTAACAGTGATTTTTTTGCTTGCTTTGCCTTTAAGTTTTCTGACCATAGTATTTTTTACCTTTGTGCTATTTAATACGATGGTATTGCTTGTTGTTGTCATCACGCTTGACGTCAACATCGTTGTAGTCTTGCGCATATAAAAAGGTTCAAATTTTGGATCGTAATTTGTTTCTTGTTTTCTGTACTCTGGTTTAGATTTATACGTGGTTCGACGGGGAGACGTTACGTTCAATAAATTTACGTTGTATGTCTTATTTCTGGTATTATCTACAAATTAAAATATCTTTTAATTGGTACTTAAAATTTAACTCAGCATTGGAATTGGTATTTAAAATATAACCTTTCTGATCACGCATCTTTATCAATTTTGTCGTAAAATTATCTGTGTTAATTAATGTCGATCTGTCTGTGGACAGTGGTTGTGTGTATTCTGGGCTAAAAACGTATTCACTTTCAATATCATACTTTACACCATCAGTTATTGGTGCTTCATTTATATATTCCCAGGCATCAGATTCTATTTTTGCATTGTCACGCTTGCGAACGTATTTTAATGTTGTGATTTTTTGTGGAACATATGACATTTTTTTTTTGAAACTTTGCGTTTGTCCCAATAAGTTCAAATACAATTGATTTGGTTTGTTCATTATTTGATTTGAAGGATATCCATTTATATAACGTAATTTGCTTTCGTATTTTTGTTTATCCTTTGTTTGATACTTAAGTGTTTTATATTCCATTTTATGTAACTTTACCTCGTCTCAACTCTAAAATAAAAAATTGAGTATTCATAGCAATCATTTTCTAAGCTAAATAATGAAAAACACCCAACAGAGAGTAGCGTGAGACACAATACAAAGACAGCATATTGACAAAGATAGCTTGCTGGCCAAGTTTTTAAGGATGTGGGCGGGTACAATACTCACCATTATGATTTACAACGAAAATTGGTTTAACAATTTTTAGCAAATAATCATAAAGGAAAACAAACTAACCACTAACTAGACTTTTACCACTTTACTCATGTGCTTTTATTCCACATTGTTAGTTACCTTCTTCTGAATTTTACTACAAAACCTACTGAAAGACTTAAAAAGTTATTACTACTCGGTTATCTTTATTACCATTTAGTTTTACCTTAAATAATTTTTCTACAATAAATTTCGAATTCCTATTCACATTTTTGTTTTTAAACAATAAAGAAACTTCTTTATTAATTTTGTTTATGGTGTCTTCACATACTACATTAACAAAAAGAATGCAACCTCTATCGTATGAGTGAATGATGAGAGTGAGGGAGAGGAATGGATGAGTGAGAGAATGAAGAGAGAGAGAGCGGTGGCGGGATAGCAGGAGGATGAGAGAATTTTTGGGTTTTTACATGTGTATCATGTTTTTGTAAAACGATTTAAAGAAATTTAAAAAAAAGAATTTACGAGCCGAATCTTTTATTATCCGAAGAAATCCCCCACCCCAACGCTATTACATTGATATCATTGCCCATCATACATATATCTAAATATCTGTCAGAGTGACATTGCAACGACGTTACACTTATGAATTTAAAAAAAATTAACAAGGCTCTTAATGGCGGCCATATAGACAAATGCCAAAAAGTAAATTTTGACTGCAAATTATTATTAAACACCCATAGAGAACCCCACATGCCGATTTTCAGTAGAATTAGAGCAAATTTTTATTAATCGCTAAAAGTTTGTAAGGCAATAATAATGAAAAATTACTAAATATTGAAAAATTACTAAAAGAAAATTTTAACGACAAATTATTATTAAACACCCATAGAGATCCCCACATGCCGATGTTCAATCGAATTAGAGCAAATTTTCATACGCCAAAAAACACTTCTATGGCAGCCATATTGAAAAATGGCGAAAAACCAATTTTGATCACAAGTTATTATCAAGCACACCTATATGCCATATGCCAATTTTCAAAGGGAAGCAATTTTTTTTCTACCGCCAACGAACGCTTCTATGACGGCCATATTTGAAAATGGCGAAAAACAAATTTTGAGTACAAATTGTTATCCGGCATTTCTAGTGGCCTTCACACGCCAAGTTTCAGTCGAATCAGAGCAAATCTCTTTCGGCAGCTATTTTTAACCAAAAAGACACTTATAAGGCAGCCATATTAAAAAATGGCGAAAAGATATTTTTGACCCCAATTTATGATTAAGGACTCCTACAGACCCTCGCATGCTAATTTCCAGCCGGATCGAAGCAAGTTTTTCTTCGGCCTCCATTTTGAAATCGCCATCTTGATTTTTTTTAACACAGGCAGTTGAACAGTGTTACCCTCTATGACATTCCTTCGAGCACCTCCTACCTATCTCTAATAGTTTCCGTGATAGGAGGTTTTGAAATTTGTACGGCGGCCATTTTGTTTATTTGAATTTCGAACATTTTTTACTTCCCGCGGCAAAAATGCACAAAAATCCCCCCCCCCCCTATATTATAGTTTTTGCAGGCCGTTGATCACTCGTTTACATTTCCCACATTCGGGTTTTCTCATATTTGATTCTTTGCCTTGGAATCTGTTCGCGTACAACGGTATAAACATCTTTTTTCTACCATATCGGAAAGTAAGCGTCTATTTCTATCAGTGAGTAAGAACTATATATATGTATAACTAGATGGCGCGCGTTGCGTCGGGCCGCTAAAGCGGCCCGCGAGGGCTTTCTTTGTATCTGGTGACAAATTGGGAGTCGAACCTCATATTTCAGTAGAGAATTCTCTTTATTTGACTTTAAGTGGGAGTGTCGGCCATTTTGTTTTGCGAATTTTGATTTTTTTTACTCCCTGTAGAAACTACCGCTACCTACGGGTGTGTAGCAACATTTGTTTGGAGACCCTAGGGCCAAGACTTGTACTTCTCCCGTGCACCTTGGGTCCTACCTGACGCGGAGCACTTTTCGAAAGTTTTGGTACTTCCTGATACTCACTCAATCAATCTTATACACTCGCTCTTGTTTTGGAAGAAAAATGCTGGTCAAAAAACCAATAATTCACTTTTATGACGGCCATCTTGGAAAATGGTGGCGGAATCCAAATTTCGTTGGCAGATACATACTATGAGCCCCCATACACGATCGCATGTCAAATTTCAGTCGGATCGGAGCACTTTTTTTTGGGCCCCCATTATGAGTCTAAAAATTTTGTCACCGGCAGTTGACCCCCGCCGCCCTCTATAACATTTGGTCGAGCACCCCCCACCTATGTATCTCGTTCCAATTTATTTTTCTTGAATAAGTCAACGTGTTTTGCACTTGCACAAATGCAAACCATGAAGTGTCTGTATAAAAAAGTCCTATATGAGGCTGTTTGGCAGAACCTTTGCCTATCCAAATAAATGGGCGAAAACTAAAACAACGCAAATTAAAAACATATATTAGAAAATGAGTTTGATAAAAATTTAGTTTGGTAACTAATAGACTAAAATGTTATAAATTATTTTAATTCTAATCAAAATTTTTTGTGTTTATATTCTGTTGTTGTAATTATATTTGTGCTGTACGTGATTTAGTTTTGGAACGTTTTAAAAAGTAAATAATTTCTCGATTTCTTAAAAGTATTATTAGTAATAATAATGTGCTAGATAATCGATAATTTTGTATCAAATTGGTACTATAAAACAGTACCATCACTATGAAATTAACTCCAGCGTTTTACTGTAAAATTGTACCCGGGTACATAATCGTTAAAACATACGCTGTAACATCGTTAAAACATATGCTCTGCTTGACTGTTGCTAAATAATATGACATGCTAGGAGCAATACTTACTCAAGCTAATGCTAGTCTGAGATCGCATAGCAAGGACAATATTTGTAGGTTCATCTGCAGAGCGGCTCCATGAGAGTATTTTTCGTATGGTAATCAAGTGACCCTTATAATTTTGCATTGCACTCAGAGCTTTTAATCGCGAAAATATGAGTGGTATTTCCACTGAGTATCCTCACGCTGAGCTATTAAGTTGCCAAGCCCCATGTGCTTATAGTTTCACCAACATCCTTTTGAACTGTAATGCAGTAATCCTCACATTATTGCTTGGCACCGGAAATAGGTATATAAAGCACTTCACGAAATGGATTCGAAATGGCCGCATTGTCGATCGTAAAACGATAAGTCCTCTGCTTACCAAATCAAGCCTTACCACACTTTGACGAAGCTGTAAATCTAAAGTTTCGGCACTTAATAAGACCGAATGGTGGTTAGCTTCACTCAACGTTTACTGCCAAAATTTTCGAAGACTCATGACTAAGCCTAAAGTATTTAAATTGGCCCTGCTTTCCACATGCGACGATGTTGTTGTCGATTCTGAAACATAGTTGGACGATGGTCTGTTCGACCGTGAACTGTTTTCCACGTTTACCACCAATTGTCAGGTTCATGAAAAATATCGTTGTACTATGTCCTCACTTTGTAAAACTGGCTTTTTGTTTCAAGCTGTCGAGGAGTATCCAGCATTTTGAGAGTAGCAACGAATACTGCGGGTCGCCGTGAAACATCGTACTTGTAAAAATGTAATATTCTTTACTTTATCCATTTTGCATGAATTCTTACAACGTCTAATAGAGTAAAAACCCTAATTGTAGTATTTTTTTTAATAAAATCTACTGAAGACGCGCTATAACGTGTTTGTCATAAGTACAAACACTACAGAATGTCTATAAATTAAATATATCTAGAATAAACTTAAGAACACTAGTTTTTAGAGTATTAATAGACTTTACTGGATGTGTATAGAACAATTTTACTAAGAATAATCAGTTGTTCTACAGATGAACTTAAAATAAGGACTATAAGAGTAAATCTTAAGAGAGATTACACTTAATTAAGTACTTTGGTATTAAGAAGGTTTTAAAATTTTGACTTGAGTGAAATAAGTCTATAAGAACAATTTCTTTTTTTTTTAACCATTTATAGAGAACTATTATCTAAATGTATACCATATTAAGACTGTTTATAGTTATAACAGTTTTAAGGCGTATAAAGTGTGCTCCTTAGGTCTGTTTTACAGATTTATGTTGAAAATTAGTATTCAACAAAAAATTGTATGCATACTGAAGAGAATAAAAATAATATATTTCAATTTTTCTTGAGCTAATTTCTTTTCGCTACAAACTGAGCTTTCAATTTGTTTTAGATTTTCATAACACGATGAGCACCATCTACATGATAAGTAACTTCTCCATGGTTAATGACCTCTCTTTGGCGAACGTCTCGTATCGTCGTCAAAACGACAAAAGGAACCGTATTCATAGTCCTCAGCTTAACGCCTTTGATCATCTTCACTTGACACCATTCCCGAATTTATATGGAGAACAGAACCGTAACCTAACCACTTATTTTTTCGTCATCTTTAAGATATATTAGTTTGGAGCTATTTTTAAATACATGTACTTTTAGAATACGTATCTTTAATGCTGTGTTTAAAATTAGGTCCATGACACACTTACTGACACGAATTCGCATTAAGCCGACCAGAAAAGCCTATGTTCCTGTATAAGAGTGAAAAAGACGTTTTGCAATTCGCTTTAGCGATACGAGCGGTCTTTTATTGCTTTTTTGCACATTTTTCTCTCTGGTTACATTGTCGTAAAGTTTTTGCGCTAGACTCGGCCTTTGCGCTATTCAAACAACTATTGTGAGCTTTGGGAATAGGATCTTTGTTTATAAAGAATATCAAGTGCCGGGACGAACAAGTCGTGGGCCTGGTGGTAAGCGACACGTCTGTTCATAACAGTTGCAGTGCCACTCAGAGCTTAAAACCGCAAAGATCGGAGGGACACGGGACACTGCCACTGCGCTCGTCACCCTGAAACATAAGTTGACAAGTCCCATGTGCCTGTTGTTTTACTAGCACCTCTACACTTCAAAGCTCACATTACTGCTTGGCTGCAGAAATAGGTAAGGTACTTCCCTGGAAGGACTCTTTCACAAGGGGCTCCACTGCCACTGTCTTTCCCCTTCTTGGTATAAGTAACACATAGTATGTTATAATTAAAGTAATTCTTGCAATTTCTTTCAGTTAGCGATGTAATTCCGGCACATTTGTCAAAACGACTACACGCTTTACCTCGCCTAACCATGCATTTAAAAGATACAGACAATAATCTTAAATGTAAAGAAAACCCGAAATTTTTGGATCTTGTCTTTGCTGTGAGTAAAGATTTCATTATTTATTATACTGGCTTTTACTCCAGCATTATCACTCTTAAGCTATTGGCTAGGCTCCGTCAGTTGCTGAAGGTCAAACGATGTGCTTGCCGCCGTCAGCACAAGCACTCTAGGGGTGACGTACACACAACTTTGTCCCAGTGGTTGACACTGTCCCAATGTACGACGCTTTTACAACAAACAAACAACAACAACAAACAAATATTGATATTACTCACTACACAAATATTATTACATTCAATAATTTTTGAATATGGCGAAAGTCTTTGCGAGCAGGTGATCGGTGTGTAACGTGTGTCGCTCTTGTTATAGAAATCGTTAAGACTTTGAGTAGTTCAAGTGAATTTATCAAGCGTAATATTATTAATTACCGGTAAGTATTTATTAAAACTATTAGATAACTGTAAAAACAATTGATTTTGCGTGTTTTTATTGATGTATATCCTTCATATTTTATTTTAGAGTTTAATGTTTACTAGTAGTTGACACCCATGTCAAGCACTCGTATACGTGAATATTTTTAAAAACTTAATTTCGACCATTTTGTAAGGACGGAGAACATAAGTTTGGATTACTCTGTTAGTGACAAGTTTCTAGGGGTAGTTTGAGTAGTGTTTGACATGGCTGTCAAAGAATGTTTTACTATGGGGAGCCAATAATTGACAGTTGTATAATATTGAGATGTCAGTGTCAACTATTTGGTTACGGGTTGTTCAATGTAAAAATGCCATTAAGGCTGTCGCCTTATTCTCTTATCTTATTATGATGGTGACGTATTGAAGGCGGTAGATGAAGTATCAAGATGAATTTCTATCGCAGCAGCTACGAGAAAATATGAGATATTGCGGATTATTTTACTGTATAAAATTTAACTAACTTAAAATTTCATTAAATTTATATCAACATTTTAGTAACTAATTTTTATTTGAAATTTTGTACAGAGACTCTCGATGAAGTACGCATTATTTTGGGTCCTTTAATATAACTACACTTTTCTGTTACATCCTATATTTTCTCATTTTAGTTTCTATTTTGTATGCTTTTTGCAGGCACTTACTTACCTTGACTACAAAGGTAAGTAACTATTTATTAATTTTAATAAAACTATCTCGATAGATTATGGTTTTTCTTGTTTTTTAAATTTATTGTTATCAGGTAATTAATGCGTTTAAATAACTATGAAATCATAACATCCTTTCAAATACTGTTACTCCGATCTCACTGTGCCATAGTCAACTATTGGGACATTAGAAATTTTGCCTGTCATCATACACTGGTACAATTTTAGAGGTAGCGGAAAACTGGAATATATTAATAATGCGTATGATTATTTTTAATTTTATAGTTCCTAGAAGATAAATGACAAACCGTTTAATATGTTAACATATCTAGGTAGTCAGTATGACTGATAATAATGTACTTTTTTGACAAAATACGTGATTTTCCGTCTATAAACGTCAACCACTGGGACATTTAACTTACAGTAAAGATTCATTTTATAGCGGCTTGAATTTCCCATTGAAAATATAATAATTATATCGTGGTAATACAAATAATATTTTATCTACATACGTATCATAAACCCTCTATGATGTGTTCTAAAACCGCAAATTACGACCAGCATAAAGATAAACTGGTTTGTTAGAACAAATTTCTTATCTTTGAAAATGTTATTATAGCTTATAAATGTGTCCATGCACTAAACTCCACTAATTTATCAGAACAAAAATCTACAAAAAATACAGAGTATATCATAAGTCGAAAGCTAATTGGAGAGTACAAACTCTTTGGAAAAAAAATCTGAAGCGCCTAAAACCTGACAACGGTGGCGTGTCCCGAATGAAGAACACAAAGTGTCATTTTTGTTAAGATTGTAACTGTAAATTGTAAGGTTGTATAATATATATATGTTCATGTTTAATAAATTAGATGATAGTACTTATAATCTGAATTTTACAATAAACTAGACAATAGTTTTATCACAGTACCAAGATTGCTGCGTGTCCCAGACTTACGCGGGAATGCGGTGGTCGTTACTAATCATGCTACACGTCACAAGTGAAGCATTTTAGAAGCTTCGCAATTCGTTCGTGTTATTCGTCCATCACGCCTGTGGCTGGAGAAAACAGATGGATGGTCTGTTTGCTGATTTTAGGACTTTTCTATCATTAATATCGAATTCGGTGGATTTGGTTCAGGTTGACTTTTGAATTCAGTGTATACGATATTTCAAAAACTAAATTTTATGGTTGAACGTAATATTTTTTATAATGTGTTGTAACAACTACAATATAATAACAACTTTTTTTAGAAGTATTGTCGTATACAAGTAATATAAAATATATATATATATATATATATATATTCTGAATCCCGTGGCCTTGGTGTCGGTGGATTTTATGTCACCTAATTCAGAAAAGCTTCCGCCGAAGTCGGAAAGAACTGAAGTTGAAGCTATATTTTCTTTGAAAAGCAAGAATTTTCTACGTTTTTTCATATAAATGTTTAGTTAATATTATTGATTTTCACAATTTTATATTACTGCTTGATTCCCGGTGAATGTGAATAAATAATAAGAAAATCAAAACAGAAAAAAAAATTGAAAATTAAGAAGATGAAGGAACGTCCTAGATAAGCGAAGATAATAAGCGATCCAATCGATGCGAAAGCGATATAAAAGGCTTAAAGAAAGATAGTCTATATATAAGAAAGATAGAAAAAGCAGAAGGAAAGGTTTTGAAGTTGCATGAATTACCTCGTCATATATAAAAAGTAATGAAAGATATTAATCACACAAGTTCCAAACAATTGATTGCTTTTGTAGCTACGGATTGCGTTCAAAATTTTTTTTATAAAGAGACTACCAGATATTTTGTGTGATTGAAAAAAGGTGGAACAGCCAAACTGAAAACTGTGTTTAATTAATAGTCATAAGGTGAAATTTGTTTATGTTGTTCTGGTCGATTTATAAATATTCATATTTTCATATTCATCTTTATTTGCAAGCTATATAGAAAATCAAGATTTTACAATTTTTGTGACTGTACATGTAGCACCCTGCAAGGGCACCGCAAGTTGAGAGCGCAGCTCTTGTTCATTAAATTAGAAAAATAAATTTACATGCAAAAACTACTAACATTTTATCGATATATTAACATTAACGTAAAAAATAAAGATTAATAAAAAAAAAAAAAATTTTTTAAATAAATATTACTTTTTAAAGCTTGATTGAATAGTTACTCATATTAGTAAATGTTTATGTAGAAAATTACTTAGATCAAACATACAGTGGAACTGTAAATAAAATATTCAACTATAAGTTTTTAATAAGTAGGTATATTAAAATTAACAAAACCTCCTAATAACAAATAGATATCAATATTTATTATTATCTAAGTAAGCGTTTATTATTCAATGAAATAAAGGTTTACAATATGGTTAGCTCAAATACAGGATGAAATTGAAAACTTGTCACAAATCGAAAAGGGAGGTTCGGTAACTGTTACTTATTCGTTAGCGGATGAGGAAGCGGACCGGTTAGCCATTGCGGCTGCTTCAGAGGGGCCCGAGGTTGATATTGTGGCTGACTTCTATGAAGTGGTTGCAAACTATAAGAGCAAGTTCCATTCTCATTGGAAGAAATATTTCGATATAAGATCCCAGGAAAAAGGAATCAGAGTAAGTCTCCTCGTGTCCGGACGCGTTCCATTAAACAATTTTTTGTGTTTGATGCGGAGGGTGAACTCACCGAATTGCGAAGTGTGTGGGATTCCTGATGTACATCATTTGCTCATGGAATGTGTTCGGACGGAACCTATCAGGGCGCGGTTATTTGTACAAGCTGGTTTTCGAACATTTAATGTTGGGTGGCTTCAAACTGTTCTGTCGGAGCCAACATGTAGTGCCGCGAAGATTTTGTATACGTGTTTGGTTAGGTAGTATTTGATTTATCTGTCTGGATTTTATTAAGTGTTTTCTTCACGATCAAACCCCTTAATAAATAAAGAGCAAAAAAATAATAATTTCCCAAACAAAATTTACTAAAAAAATGTAATTATCTTCTTAGATGATTGACCCACAATGTCTTAGATAATGAAAACTGACTTACTGTGTTCATGTAAATATTATTTATAACTTTGTTGCAGGACAAATTACTACCATACTTTGCTGTCGGTGTTGGCGGTGGTATCCTCTTGTCTATCTTGTTGGCGGGGTTCTTGTTCCGCATGTTTCGCGCTAGTGACCCCAGCACCATATGCCCAGAAGAAAACCGTAGAACGCCTAGAATGCGCTGTTACTCGGTATTACTTTCTTTAATTTCTCTTTTAGGAAGTTATCAGAGAATAACAGGTGTTTTAAGCTAAGTACATAAATCAACCTTATTAAGCCTCAAATCGGAAACATAGAAAAATATTAACCTTAGAACACGATTAAAATCCACCTATATACGAAAGTGATACTTGTATACTTGACCTATGCTTCTCGTTATCACTGAGAGCAGGCGTCTTAGTCAACGAGGTAGTCTTTCTATGTGAACCATTGCAAAATCGTTGGTGGAACCCTTTTTGGTTTTTTTTTTTATATTTTTTTTATTTAAATAATTATTATTTATTTCTATTATTATCATCGTCATCATCATCAACAGCCTATCGTAGTCCACTGCTGAACATAGGCCTCTCCCAATGCGCGCCATTTCGCCCAGTCCTCAGCTCGTTGTATCCATCTGCTGCCAGCAGCCCTTCGTAAATCGTCACTCCGTCTGGCCATAGGGCGTCCTACACTACATTTTCCGAGCCGTGGTCTCCACTCAAGAACTCGCTTCCCCCATCGGTTATCGGTTCTTCCACAGATATGGCCGGCCCACTACCACTTCAGCTTGCTTATTTTCCTGCTATGTAACGGCGACCTTAGTTCTTAGTTCCATAGCTCGCTGAGCGAATTTCAACTGGTGAACTAATCGTATCGCGAGTGTCCACGTCTCGGCTCCGTATGCCATAATAGGTGAAACTCCGTATGTCATAACGCACTGATTGAAAACCTCCGTTATCAATCTTTGTATGGGTGACGAGAAGACTCGACGTAGTTTACCGTTAAATAAATATATAGTAAACGCTGCCCAGCCAGCATTTATTATATATTTATTTATCCAGCATTTTAAGGGAGGCTGGAACGTAAGCTAAGACTACTCTGTATTTTCGGACTCCGGAGTCTCCACCTATCGATTTTACAAGTTCATTATTTAAAAGTATTGTTGTTAAGAGAAATTTAGAAGTTAGTGATTTTAATGATTTGCTTAGATTTAGTATTTGACAAATAAATGGATTGGTAAAAACCACTGGTTGCGGACCCCAAATTAGGCGCCGCGTAAACGTATCTTGTTTTGGATACAAGCATCGAGTGTATAACCAGAAATAGAGACGAAATGTCATTTGATTTGTTTGAAATCTATTCTGCCATATCATTACGGCAACAACTGCGCTCCGATTGGCCAGCCCGAATTCGAAACAATTGACGGGTGTCGTCAATTGTTTCACTTCAAAACTTCCACTTTAACTTGAGCCTTGCTATAATGGACGAAAATTGAAAAATTGCGTATTTAATTACCGATGAAATGTGATTCCGTTTGTTTTGTAATTAGACGTTTTGCTGTTTTTCCTACACCACCTAATAGAACAGCATCCTATAGTTAGACATATTATATTTATTACATTGACTTACAAATAAATGGACGACGGGTCTAATACAAAAACCACGAAAAAAATGTCCCAAGTCAACCTATTCGAAATTTAAATTGTTATGTCATCGCAGTATCGCGCTGTCCGTAGAACAAATGAAGACTAAAGCGGAGTGTCGCGCTCTGTATACGATTTTAGCGCCTTACAAGTGCGGACACTTTTTAGCGCGGACCCGACGTCCATATAATTGTAAGTCAATGATTTATTACAATAAATTCAGAAGATTTTTTTGAATATACGGAGATGTACACACAGGTCAGTTGTTGGCGCTGTACTATTTCAGCTTTCTAAATTGTGATTTCAGCGCAAACGAAACTTGATATTTAAAAGTGATATAAGGCCCATTTGTCAGATGAGTTGTCAGGAATAGATGGCCCTTATTTCGTCTCTATGTCTGGTTATATACTTGATGGATACAAGCAACCGGCAACTAGAAGCGAATATTTTATTTTCATACTATTGATTTGAGATCGACACAGTCGCCGGTTGCAGCAATCGCACACAGTCGCTGATTGCGGCAGTCGGACACTGTCGTCGGTTGCCATGGTTGCCGCAACCGCAATTTGTATGAAAATTGAATCTTCACTTCTTATTGCCGGGTGCTTGTAACCAACACAAGACACACGTTTGCGCGGCGCCTTACACTACAGTCTTCCATATGTGTATCTGGTTTGTTTTTCTTAAATATAAAATTCTTGCAACAAAATTGTTGTAGTCTAAATTTTCATATTTTCGGTGAAGTTTATTTTTATTTTTAAAAAGTAGTGAAACGACCAAGTCGTGCTGCTGGTGCACTCAGACCTATAAATCGCAAAGATCTGAAGAGCACTGCTACAGTGTCCGTCAACCTAAGAAATGAAGGTTCCATGTACCTACCTACCATCACACTCGCCATACAAAACACACCGGTACACAGTAATGCTGTTATACTGTTTATACTGTTTGCCGGCAATATAGTATGTAAGGCAGGCGGCAATAATATGTAAGGCAGTACTTCCTTGGTCGAACTCTACAAGGAGAGCTCTATGGCTACTTAAAAGAGTTGTTTGAAAAACTTTTCTTTTAATTTGCAAAAGACGTCCGATGCTGTTGTTCATTGAATGCGTCATTTTTAACCACGTGGACTATTAAGCACCCAGTTACACGAGACGAAAGTTTTCGCGCGGCGACCACTCAGTTACCACGCCTTCGTGTACATACATTAATGGCGAATCTGGATTCTATTTATTAGACAACAACATTTTAATTCCTCGGAATAATACAACCGCGCGGTCGCGGCTGCCGCGTACACCAAATTCACGCCAGACTCGTACGCGTGTCCGGGAAGCACATTTAAGTTAAAACGTAAAAGCTTAGATAAAGGTAAAGATAAATTTATTTCAATATGACTTAATCTAATACAATACGAGCTAAATAAATAGAGCGTATTTTGCCATGACAGTAGACGCACGCGGTTGCTCCGCGGCGGCACGCTGATTCCGCTCGGCGACCGCGCGGGGTGAGCGCGATGAAATACACCCTAACACTCGCAAAATAGTTTGCTTTGTTATTATTATTTTCAGATGATGATGTTGATTTTCACCCTAACTTGCATATTTCTGTGTATATGTGGGTTTTTCAGTGTGAATTTACAAGTCAATCGAGTTTACCATTTGATTGAAACCTCAGACGGATTCTTAAATAACATAAATGAGGTAAAATTATCTATTATTAATATTATAATTGAATACAAGTCACCAGTAAAAAAATCGTAGCATAGTACACATTAGGTATGCCGTCGCGGTCTGTATCTGCAACCCAATTTAAATATAGACATCCGAATCTATCGTTGCAGTTTTTGCGGATACAGATGTTTTGCTTAGTGTAGTATAATACATATATACATATTATCCCTTGATCAATAAAGTCAGTCTTGTATCGTCATTCGGTTGTTTCACTCGCAAGCCTTATAACCTTACATAGCGAACCTTTTTTTTTTTTTTTTTTTTGACGGGGGGGAAATCTTTATGGTTATATAGCGAACCTGCCCTAACTGAGTATTGTCGCTGGCGCGGCGACTCATGTAGCAAATAAAATATAAATTATATCTGGCTTCGTGCACATCAAAATGTATAACTCGCAAGCTCCGAAACTACAGCTACAAGTGACTTCCCAAATTGGTTATCAAAATACGGTAACCAATAATACCCAGGTGGAAACTCACATTGGAATGATCTCCTGGTGTATGCTGGCATTTATAATATTTTTTTTACTGGTCGGAACAATCATCGTCGTACGCTACTGCGTAACATGCATAGATTTTTTTTTTTTTTTTTTTTAATTTATTAAGGCTTTGGCAAAGCCATCAGCCTACACATGAAGTTTAATTATGTTTCTGTAAATATGGCCGCCACAAAGAAGATAGGCAATTTGAGGCGGCGTGCTTGGATTGACTCGGGATTCCTTAAAATGGGCCGCTACGGGTATTCTAGTTCGAGATTCGTATAATTTCGCGTTTTAATCTTCGATTAAGGCACAATAGCACTATCCTATTCCACTTTAAACTAGATTTCACAAAATAATTGAAAGTCAAAATAAAAACGTAACTTTTCCCTCCAAAAGGTCCAGAGCGAATCTCATGCATAGATATAGGAAAAAAGGGGAGTCTCTTACACAAGTCGCGCTTACATCATATGTTATCCCATTCACTCGTTCTTAACGTTCATTCCGGTTTCAGCATACGACTATTCCCATTTGTTCAAAATTCATTATTCACATCTCGTCAGACTGAAATGATGATGCCCCTTGACCACATAATGAATAATTACAGCTGAGTTCCAATGAGTTATTGTACCATGGCTAAAATTACTTCAATTGTTTTCCAATTTTTGATATAAAACATATGTTTTTGATATTGGTAACATTGACTGTAATATTAACTAAAATAATTTAGATGTGGTGTCCATGTCCTCTAAGAGATTAACCACACTTGTCGACATTGTATCGCTGGTCAGTCAGAAAATGATGTTGTGCGTTGCGCTTCGGCGATCCGAGCGGCGACTCGCACAACGTCTTTAGGTGGACTCACAATTAACAAATTCTGGCAATATATTGCTGCAATTTATCGCGTTGCGCGATATGGCCTGGTGAGTTGACCAATCAGGAGTTAAAGTCGCAACTCCTGATTGATCAATTCAAGGTGATATCACGCAACGCGATATAAATTGCGGCAATATATTGCCAGAATTTGTGCATTGTGAATCCATCTTTTTTCGCTTTTATTGCTCAAGGCGATTACTTGTAAATAAATGTGGTGAGTCCCTAACATAAATTTGTTGATTGAGATGACTCGACGATCACATTCGCATCTTTGTTTTTTAATGCTTACTAATGTCAACTATTTTTACAGACTTTTGATAAATATAGTAAAGATACACTATCTCGGTATAGAAAACCAAGTTTTTCGTATCATGAAAGACGACTGGTTCGAGAAATCGATAATATAACTAAAGCAATGGAGAACAACTTTGAAAATAAATACAGAGCATTTATTAAAAAAGTGCAACAAGTCACGAAGGAATCGGAACCTGGACTTCGAGACCTTATTGAGGTACTTAATATATTTTCGAGAGCTGTATTCCTTAATGTTGTATAGCGGAGAGAGATTATTTTTATTTGTTATAAAAGATATTCTTACGTATGTCTATTTGTAATTTCATTAAGGTGGTACGTGCTGGCCTATAATATGCATGCTCGCTCAAACTTTTAAGAAACAATCTTGAATGAAATCTTATTGTAAGCTTATAACGACATTACTCATATCCATACCATGACAACCACTTAACCAAATAATCTATTATTATTAAATTGATTGGAAAGAACGAATGATTTCCCAAGATTGTTGGAAAGAAATTATCTATTCCTTGCCAAAAATAGCAAAAAAATAACGCTATATGAACTGTACAGTGCCATTTCTTTTTTTTAGATGATCTGAATTGTCCAACCGTAGTACTAGTAACTCATATTACTTGCATTCAAAGAATTTTAGCTGCCGTAAAAAGAAACGTATATTATGTATTAAATAGTCAAATATATTATGTTTACGCCGTCGCCAATTGTTTTAAAAACTAATATTGATCGAAAGAAATTAATTCCAATAAAATAAATTGTGATATTGTTTCCATTGCGAACGCGTAATTTTTTTAAGACAGCTACGAGTAGTTTTGACAAAGCACAGATACTAAAGGGTTTTCCATTAGGCGGGTAAAGTTTGACAGTTCATAGCGGCCATGTTGTTGAGGCTGCTTATGTCAAATCTGTGTTTATTTTTCAGCCATTAAAGATAAATCATTATGGAAAGTTACAGCGTCGAGCAACACGTACAAATTATAAAAAAAATATTATGAAAATGGGGGTTCTATTGCATCAACGATGCGCGCATAGCACTCATTTTCCGGTTTACGTGGCCGTCCTTCCAAGTCGACTATTCAACGTTTGGTGACCAAATTCGAGTCGACCGGATCAGTGAACCACCAGCCAACACCCGTAACCCGTAACTCTGCTGAAAACATCGCCACTGCAAGGAGAGGACACGTGATTTGCTCTTTAAGTCGGTAGATGTGTCCGGACATTGTCGCAGGACACTGCTACTTGGCATCTCCGGCACTAGCCCGGAGAGCTAGTAGAGTATGAGCTAGACATCCTCCGGTCCCTCCAGCAGCGTAGGAATTTGGGAACTGGAGAGACGCCGTTCATTCGGCATCGGGAAATGAGCGTGTCTTACAGCTTCGTCACCAATGAGGAGATTCGGTAGTCGACTTAGTCGTGAGTCGACGGCTCAGCGGTGGCAACCGTTAGTAGTGCAGAGTGCGACGGGAAGTGAGCATGCTTACAGCTCCGGTACCTATCTGGAAAATAGGGATGGTGCTGTACGTGCACCCGGGGCGGCTCACCTAAGGCACTAGCCTTACAGAGAACCAGATGAAGTCCGCGCAAACGAGCTGATCTGGGGTTAGGACCTGACTTAAGACGGTCACTGTGCGGGTTCGCTCGCACAGGTCATAGTGCCCTTCCCGCATAACCAAAAGGTTGATAGAGAGGGGCACTATAAACAGAATTTATGTAGAAAGATATGGGAATGTTCGTGAGAGTGTTTATGAGAAACCGAGGCAGTCTATTACGCGCACACCGTTGCATTGACTGAAAAATGAACAACAGATTTGACAAAAGCAGCCGTGATAACATGGCCACTATGAACTTTCAAAATTTACCAACCTCTAATGGAATACCCTTTATGTTAATTATAAGGAATTAATCCTTATAATTGACCCTATCGATCGGCATCATAAAAATACAGGATTTTTTACATTTGGTCGGTTCGATTCCCAGATGGAGCAAATAACTTTCTAAAAGTCTTTGAATACTGTATTACTTGTAAACATAAAATAATGTGTCCATCAAGCAAAAAGTCCTTTGAATCCATTGACTTACAAATAAATGGACGACGGGTCTAATACAAAAACCACGAAAAAAATGTCCCAAGTCAACCTATTCGAAATTTAAATTGTTATGTCATCGCAGTATCGCGCTGTCCGTAGAACAAATGAAGACTAAAGGGGAGTGTCGCGCTCTGTATACGATTTTAGCGCCTTACAAGTGCGGACACTTTTTAGCGCGGACCCGACGTCCATATAATTGTAAGTCAATGTTTGAATCCACAATATTTAAAGTACATTATACACCTTAGAGCGATTATAGACTGCGACTTTTCGACAGCGCAGCGGTGCGTCTGCAGCGATTTAGTCGATATAGTCGCTAATCGTCTACCTGTACATATAAGCGCGGCTAGGGCATACAAACTGGTTACTCGATTAACCGAAAAAACCAAGTAACCGTCCATTTTAGATCCTGGTTTTCAGCTAATGAATATTCGGGTTTTTCTGGATTTTCAGTTTTGTTTTAAAACTACTAAAACGTGAATTCGTAACTCATGATATCATCGTATCGTGATTAATAATGATAAATAAACGCTAACTAAATAGGCTTCATTACTCCACAAAGTCTGCCGATATTGTGGAGTATATACGGGTGAAAGCCAATGCTGCCCTGAGAGTCGAGTAGTTGGTGTCCCGCCACGATGTAAATTTTAATTCATATGTGGTGAGAGTACCAACTCCACATCTGTCGACCTTCATGAAAGATGAGTTTTGGCCGATGGGGGTCGTGTGACACCCACGTTGCGTCACACGTTGCAGACAATACGTGTTAATAATAATTAGTCAGTGTTTTTATTGTGTTATTATGTATGTTAGTCTATAAGGTATGGTATATTTATGGGTCTTTGTTACCTGAATGCAAATAAATAAATTAAAAAAAAATGCTAGGAACTCTGGTACCCAACTGCAGTGCAGCGACAGTGTCCGCAAAATGGGTGCTGCAGGTAACCTTCGGGTGGCGAGGGGGCGAGTGAGGTATGCGTGCATACGCAGAGAGCAACAATAACTTTAAAAAAAATTTTGTGGTTTTATTATTTCATCCTTCCCGTTTATCCGTTTTAGCGAATTAGTCGCCAGATTCAGTGAATTTTACGAATGTAACAACAAGCTAAAATTTAGTTTTAGCGAGAAATAAATGTAAAGACAATTTTTTTTTACCCACGGACTATTTCAGAAATTAAAACGTGACCTGTTAATGTTTAATGTTGTGAAATTGAGCAATAGTTATATTCGTATGTCTGCCTAATGCTGATACATAGACAGACTGAATAAGAAGATATTTAATTGCTTGTTCCTAAATATGCATATTTATTTTAGAATATCAGTGTTGTTGATTTGTTTTTTTGTTGTAACTCGAGAATTTGATCAATCTCATTGAAACTGTGAATTCCATAAAGAATAAAAATATTCTGCAAAACTGATTTGATTTTAGTATTCTGACATGACATTTTTAAAGTATTATTTGGGTGACAATAGAAAAATATCCCATAATATTTTTATAAAATTTTTTTAAACCGAAAAAACCTGTTTTCGTAATGACTCGGTTTTTGCATGCCCTAAGCGCGACTTAAGCAGCGATACAATCGCGATGCACATTTTTAATGATTTAACAAACGCGACTGTATCGTGGCAGTCTTGCAATCAGACGTTTGCAAGCATACAAACGCCTATAAATAGTTAGTGTCGCGATGCAGTTGCACGTTTTTTGGTATTGCTGCCGAAAACCGCCGTGTGTAACCGCTCTTAGTCTCAAAATATTTTCTGTCAGAGCCGTGTACCCCATATACCTACAGAACGCCTACCCTTAACTTCGAACTATCGTAGCAATAAATTGCTTTATTGCAGAGTATGTGGAATGCAGATATAATAATTACTGCCTTACAAGTTGTGCTCTGGTTGAGTCTCCTTATTGTACCATCTCTATTATTATTAACCGTGAAGAATATTTCAACACGTTGTCTTAGAGGAGTAATCATATTGTTTAAAGTAAGTGTTTAAAATTGCAAAGAGATGTAGATGTATTATGCGTAGGTTCGGTGTAGAATGACGTGAAAGAAATCAGAATGACTCATACTGAACTGAAGCTGTTACGATGCTGAGGTCAATTAGTTTGCCAATTAGTTATACCAGCCCACTAAGATCTAAGATCAAGCACAAACCGACAGCTCCCTGAAGGTTTGGGATAGGAAACCGTTCTTTCACCTAAGGGAATCACAACACTTATCAATACAGAATCGCATTAAGCCGAAATGGAGTGAAAAGGACATCGCGTGTTTTACGTTCACACACAGTGTTTTATAATAAGTAATTTTTTTTAAATAATTTTCTTTCTTCAATCTCTTTAAAAATAATTTTGTGGCATGCCCTTTTTCTTCCAGATTTTTTAGTTTGAAATAATAAAAATAATGTAGTAAATAAAATATGAAAACGGAAATAAATCAAATACTTCGTTGCGAATGAGGCTTTGTTTCTGCCAATTACTTTAAAATGCGCTATGACTGGTTTTATCGAACGATTTTATCTAACGACTAAATCGGTTAGCTACGAATTTTACTTAATTTAAAAAAAAGTTCTCTGAAACTCGCATTTGTATTATTTCAAGGCTATAGTAGTCTGGAAGAAAAAGGGCATTGGGATTTATTAAATACTGGGTTGGAAGCAAGCGCATAATGCCTATTTCGCTCGTATTTAAAGGATATAAAGCTTATTCTGACCAGAATTATTTCATAGTAACTGTTTCGAGTATAGTATAACCAGAAATAAAGACGACTTAGAGTTCTATATGCTCTAAGAAAGACGAAATGTCATTTAATTTGTTTGAAAACTATTCTGCCAAATCATCACCGTAACAACTGCGCTCCGATTGGCCAGTCTGAATTCGAAATAATTGACTCGTCAATTGTCTCACTTCAAAACGACCAATTCATTTTCAGCTTTCTAATTTGTTGTTAGCGCTGTACTATTTCAGCTTTCTAATTTGTGATTTCAGTGCAAACGAGAGTTGATATTTAAAGCGATATTTGTCTGATGAGTTGCCAGGGGTGGATGGCCCATATTTCGTCTCTATTTCTGGTTATATACTCGATGTTTCGGAGTGAAGTCGGACGGAGAACGATAGTAGACCCCTAGTCCCATTTGTTTAAGTGTACCTACATTTCAATAAGCTTGTAGTCATTAGTAACTCAGACGTGTTTACATTTGCTGTCAATATTAATTATTAATCTGTATATTCAATCAACAATAGATGGGTAACAGGTTTATCACAACACAATTCAACTTAGCTAATATGGCTTCTCCCTCGTAGGCTCGCCCGAGCTAATCTCTCACAAAACCGATCAAAGACTGCCTGAAATACGATAATAAGACTGAAATGTCCAAACTCTTATGCGCTCACGATCTCACGAGTCTTTGACTTGCGTATTTCGCTTGTTTGCGTTGGCTGAGTGCACGGCGTAGAAATCTTCTATCCGCGCAAAGGCGTTCACGAGTTATCCGCGTTGCGTTGCGGAGATATTTTACGCGTCTTGCCTTTGTTTTGGTTGTATTGGACCCGTGGACGTTGCTGCTCTGTGGTTGACCAGTGGTGCTGTCCTATGCAAACATTCCCTGTTGGTTGCGTGGTAATATCAAGCTTGCTAGATATCAAACTCACGCAACGGCAACGCAAAGAAATCCGATTCAAAGCAAGCTACAGGGCCGACGCAAGCGAGCGAGTCGTGAACAGTCCTCCCTACGAGTACGCGACAGATCTTTGCAAGCAAGCGAAGCAAGCGAAAAATGCAAGTGAAAAACTCGTGAACCCGGCATTAAAACCTCCCACCAACGTACTGACGTTCAGCCTAACCCAAACAAAACCCCTAGTTACCAACGTTGCTACTTTTTCGTTTAATATTCTCTATTTATTTATTTTTACAAATTAGTGAACCTTACAATTGTTATCTTTCTTTTTCCAGCTACCAACATTTTTAGCAATTTTAGTTGCTTGGGCGCTATTAGGAGTTTTTTTCGTCATGGCTGTGACAGTTTCCGACCTTTGTTTTACTAACGACACTCTTAATGGAATAACTAACATTACTAACACAATTCTATCGGAAACTACTAAGAAAGTAAGTTTTTTTTAATAATATCAAGTGACGGGACGAAGAAGTCGTGCGCCTGGTGGTTAGTGACACGCCTGTTCATAACAGTTGCAGTACCACTCAGAGCTTTAAATCGCAAAGAACGTAAGGGCGCTGCCACTGCGCCCACTCTTGTGAAGTTGACCACCCCCTAAACGGTGCCCAGAAACGAGCCATACAGGTCGTTAGTATATCGTTAGTATGCCCACTTACTTTCGACGTAAGTATACCCAGGGAACAATGATTTTCTTTAAAAAACTTTTTGGGATGGTCAACTTCACACTGCCACCCCAAAACGGCTTTTAGTGGTTCTTTCTACGGCAATCGTTAGTATGTCGAAAGTATACGTAAGTGTGCTCACACTCGTCGTAAGTATACCCGGACAATTTAAAAAAAAAAACAAAATGCACTATGTTTTTTCAAACACACCCGGAAACGGCTTGCGCAGGTCGATAGCAAATCGTTAGTATACGTTAGTATACCCACATTCGACGGTATTGCCCCAAGAGAACAGTGATTTTTTCAAGAAACAATTTCTTAGGTGAGTCATTCAAAAACACACGTGGGTTGATATTAGACACAAGCTGACACTATCAAAAACTAATGTATTGTTCGAGAACTATCGGCAGGACTACAAACATAACTAGTTTAATACGTAACAAAATTTCACATTCAACTAATCAGTCCCTTTCTAAAAAATAAGCCCAGCTGCCCTGATTTTAGTTTTTTCGGATGATAAGAAAATCCCCTTACGCACCAATTATTATCAATTGAACCGTTAGTATACTCCTCAATAACCCTCGGTAGGACTTTGAAAACTAGTCGTTTTGCGTTTAATAAAATTCTATTCAACTACAAACTTCTGGTAGATTTTCTTGAAAAGCAGACTGACTGCCCCGCTTTAAATCACTTTTGTGATAAGAACCATCCCTTGCGCAGCAAACAACAATAAATCAATCGTTAGTATACCCTTCAGCAACTTTTAGTAGCATCTTGAAAACAATACATTTCATTGCGAAAGAAATTCCATGTTCCATTTAAGAGAGAATTTCTCAAAAAAAAAGCCTAGCTACCACACTTTTTGTCATTTCAGTGATAAGAATATCTTCTTGCGCCTCAAAACACGACATTAGTTGAATGTGAAATTTTGTAACGTATTAAACTAGTTATGTTCGTAGTCTTGCCGATAGTTCTCGAACAATACACTAGTTTGTGAGAGTGTCAGCTTGTGTCTAATATCATTTGTTTTCTACGGAATTGCGAGAAATCGCGGTAGCCATGACAATTTTGTTTTTTCGTATGTATAGTACATTACTTAATCTAGGTGAACTCTACCAAATTGCATATTTTTTTACATTACGTGATTCTTGACTTAGCATATAGTATATGTAGATACGTAGAACTTGTGGTTGAGTATTACAGCATTTCTCTCATGTGTATTCTATATTTATACGGTTGATTTGTGATTCGTAAGAAAAAGACATCAACGAATTTAGATTTTTGCTTCATGTGAAAGACATCAACGAATCGACGTGCGTTTTTGAACGACTCACGTAAGAAATTGTTTCTTGAAAAAATCATTGTTCTCTTGGGGCAATACCGTCGAATGTATAGTATAATCATACTAACGTATACTAACGATTTGCTATCGACCTGCGCAAGCCGTTTCCGGGTGCGTTTGAAAAAACAAAGTTGGGAGATTTTGCTTTTAAACAAAATATTTATCCGGGTATACGTACGACGAGTGTGAGCATACTTACGTATACTTACGACATAGTAACGATTGCCGTAGAAAGAACCACTAAAAGCCGTTTTGGGGTGGCGGCGTGAAGTTGACCACCCCAAAAAGTTAAAAAAAAATTAATGTTCCCCGGGTATACTTACGTCGAGAGTGGGCATATTAACGTATACTAACAATTGTAGCACAAACAGGGTATGAGCTACGGTGGACCGAGTCTGGGCCTCGAATCAGACGACAAATTTTACCTCTACAAAAAGAGCGTTCATGGTGAATCAAAAATAGGGAAAAATAAGTCACACAACACATATAAAAAAGAAAAACAAAGATATACTACTACAGGATTTAGAAAATATACAAACTAGCTCACGTCACATACAAAAAGGAAAATAAAATATACTACAACAGGATTTAGAAGATGAACAAACTACGACACATCACATTTATAAAAAGGTAAACAAAAATATACTACTGTCGGAATTAGTACAAGCTACGAAGACATACATAAAGAGGGGAAAACCTAGGGATTGTGCCACTGCACTTTTTGATCCACGACACCGCTCAATTAAAACAGTAAACAAAAATAATTTTTTAACGTCAACAGCAATTTTGACACGAAACGCTTCACGGTAATAAATAGTCGTCAGCACTTGGTACTTAAAAATGCATCCAGAATTTCCTCGGGTGTTAGGGTAGTCGTTGCATTCAGCATACCGCAGACATGTGTCCGTGGTACCCCCAACTCACATCAAGCACCCAGGCAAAAGTGTATCGAGGGTCTACGTGCAATTAAAAAATGAAGTTGATTCGTTCGTTTTCTTATTAGAGAAAAAACCGCACGTCAGTTTCCTGTCAACCAAAAAAACAAAAAACCTAACCAAACAAACTTTCAAAAAGAACCCAACGTTTTTAAATTTCAAGAAACGCCCGACTAAACCACAAAAAGTTTCCAAACCAAAAAGACTAAGAACATTAAGAAAAAAGATGTTCATGCAGCGTATTATGCTGCACGATATACTAACGACCTGTATAAGTCGTTTCTGGGCACCGTTTAGGGGGTGTCAACTTATTTCACAAGGAGCTCTACTGCTCAGTAATAAGACAAGTATGGTAACTCCATATAAACTTAGCAGCGCGGCTTGTACCTATGCGTGTACGTCCGATGCTTACCGTGTACGAACGCACACTTTCATATAATCTCGCGTTGCATGAGGCGAGTCGCCACAGGCGCCATTCAAAATTATAGAATTGAAGCGGTAGCTTGGTGTTTAAGAGTCTATACTACCTAAAATTAGCTTTGGTTGATTCCGGATAACAGTTGTTTTTAAAATTCTTTATTTAAGTAAGTAAGTTACATATGTAAACACTAAATTACACATTACAACATCAAAATTTTAAACACTTTATGAGGCTAAAAAACACCTACCAAAGTTTAAATACATCTTTTAAATATTTCTTATTACGTCATAGGTAGATGCTTAAGTACAGTAATTACAAGACGTAATCGTAAAACTAGGATTGTAGTGTGAATCATTGTAATTGATCACTTATAACCTATTAATTCTTTTCATATTTTGATTTGTTATAATTTAATACAAACAAATATAAGGTAGAGTGCAAATAAAATTATTTGCCGAGCTCAGCGATCGAATTACGACCAGTATAAAGTAAGCGACGAGAACCGTCCCGCAGCCCCCGCGCTCATGCACGGCGCTTGTGTCTCTTCAACCTGGTCATGCGCATACTCATAGCAACTATTGTTGTCAGACGGAGGAAACAAAAGGTAGTGATGGGGTAAGCGATATGTGCCGTATCTATCGATGTAAGGCAGATTAGTAATTTTAGTGGTACAAATATTTGATATTAATGGATTTTTGTGGACGAAATTTTTTGCGTAAAATTTACGTGTGATTTTTAATATGAAGTTCATTAGCAATGGAAATTTAATTATAGAGTGTAGGGTGATAAGATTAGTTTTGTAAGGAGTATTGAATGCTATTTTTAAACATTTATTTTGTAATACCTGGAGAGTTTGATAGTTAGTTATACAAGTACTACTCCATACGGGGCAGGCATAAGTTATGCAAGGTCTCACAAGAGCACTGTAAATTCTCAATTTCGTCAGTGGGCTCAGGTTGCTTCTACGGTTTAAAATTGGAGTCAGTGCTCCAATAGCCTGGGCTCCTTTGACACGCAGGTTCGCAACGTGCTTAGACCAATTAAGCTTATTGTCTAAGATCACGCCTAAATATTTGACGGAATCACTCCATGAGATTTTATGACCACCAATGGTAAGCATTCTTTTAGGGGGTTTACGCTGTCGAGTGAACAGTATGGCCTCGGTCTTTGCTTCATTTAGTTTCAGCTTCCATTTGGTGAAATAGGCATGGAGCAGATCTAGAGATAGCTGTAAGCGTCCTATTATTAGGTCTACGTCGAAGGATGATGTATATGAAGCGGTATCATCCGCAAAGCAGGCCACACTGGTCCTAACTTGGACAGGTATGTCATTAAGGTAGAAAAGGAATAGGATAGGTCCCAAAATTGATCCCTGAGGAACTCCTGCAGGCACTGCCTGACCGGATGATTTGTGTTCTCCAATATGGACCCTGAATTCTCGATCAACAAGGTAAGATCTGATAAGTTTGACTAGGCTTAGAGGTACATTTAAGATTACCAGTTTGTGAAGTAACCCCTCATGCCAAACACTATCAAACGCCTTTTCGATATCCAGTAGGACCATACCAGTAGATTGTCGTAGGTTAAGATTATGAGAGACATGTTCATATACTCTAGCGAGCTGCTGTACGGTGGAGTGAGCCGTGCGGAAACCGAATTGCTCATTCATAATGCACTTATCAGAAACAGACAGTAGACGGCGATAAATTGTTTTTTCAAACAATTTACCAAGACACGGGAGCAAGCTAATAGGGCGGTAACTAATGGGTAATTTGTCATCCTTACCAGGTTTCTTGAGAGCAATTACTTTGGCCGTCTTCCACTGCTTAGGAAAGTATCCCAAAAGTAAGCAACCATTAAATAATTTAGTAACATATACAACTAATTTTTGTGACAGGTTTTTCAGTAAGATATTATGGATACCGTCATCGCCAGGTGATTTACGAGTTTTAAGGCTCTTAAGTACGATGCGAATTTCCAACGGTCTGACAGGATCCTGAAGATTTGTAATTAAATGGTTGTCAAGTGTTGAAAGGGAATTCCGCACAGCAACATCCAGGTCAGTACTGGG